TTGGGGTGGAGAGCGGGGTTCAGAGCCCCCAAGACTAGATGTCAGAGCCCAGCCTCATGGCCACTTAATGAGCCAGGCTGTAGAGCTCAGAATAATGGCCCCTTAGAATGTTCATGTCCTAATCCCTGGAACCTGTGAATATGTCACCTTGCGTGAAAAGGGGGGCTTTGCGGGTGTGATTTAGGGTACACACCTTGAGGTGGGGGGTAAGTTCGGATCACCCGAGTGGACCCACCGTCCTCACAGGAGTCCTTACAAGTGGAGAGCTTTTCCTGGCTGTGTCAGGCAGAGGTGACACAGAGGAAGACAGAGGTATGGCAGGACTCGATCCACTGCTGCGGGCTTTGCAGACAGAGCGAGGGGCCATGAGCCAAGCAACAGGAGCCAAGCACCGTGGCAGCCTTGAGAAGCTGGAAATGACCTTAGTTGGCAACAAAGAGGCAGCACCTTGGTCTAAACCTCGAGGAAATGGATCTTCTCCTGAGGTCCCAGCCAGCACCCAGCCCTGCCCACATTTTGGTGTTCACCTGCCGAGAAGGGGTGACCAGGCAGGGGGGCCCTGAGGAAGTGGCACGCACAAGTGAGGGCTGAAGGATGAGTTGGGGTGTTCTGGGCAGGGGCCTGGAGTGGTCAGAGGACCGGTGTGTGCAGGGCGGCTGGAGGGAGGGTGTGGGTGTGAGTGGGAATGGGAGGAAGGCTGATGGGAGAGGGCGCCCGAGGATACTCGGGCCAGACAGGCTGAGGTCGGCGGGGCAGAGTCTCTCAGACCGTTGTTGGGACTTTGGGCTTTCTTCATAGTTGAGTTAAGGCCGTTGGAGCATTTTGGGGAGGAGCCCAGATCTGTGTTTGGAAAAGATCCTTCTGGCGTCTGTGCTGGGAGTGGGCTGTGGGGACAGGGTGGGTGTGAGGAGACCCGAGGACAGCCGCTACCAAGTCCAGCTGGTGGAGGGGTGCAGGAGATGGTGGACTGGAAGGCAGAGCTGGGGGGTAGACGGGACCAGTGACGCTGAGCCGGGTGGGTAAGAGCCGAGTGAGAGGGCCCGGGCTGAATCCTGGCTCTAATGCTGCTCAGCTGTGGGGCTCAGGCAAGCTTCTTAACCCTTCTGTGCCTTAGTTCCCCATTTGTAAAATGGGCTATTTAGTAGGGGTAGGGTGGGGGCTGGGACTCTGCACTTGGAGCAAGTTCCCCAGGGGTACCAGTGCCGCTGGCCCAGGTGCCTCAGCCTGAGTAACAGGTGGGGATTCCCCTGGAGTGGGGCTGGGGTGCACCTCCCAGCTCCGCCCAGCTCTGGCCCCTTCAGTGTATTTTGTATTTGATTGCACTCTACCCCCCCACCCCCCACCCCTCTCCCCCAGCTCTAGACTCTCGGCTCCTACATGTGCGGCCCAGCTCTTCTCTCCAGCTGAGACCAGGTGGGGCTTTCTGAAGGTGACCTTCACCAGGTTTTGTAGAAAAAGCCAAACCAACCTGAAAACAGACAGGCCTAGAAATGGGAAGGTTTCATGCCGCTCTCTCTTTATCTTGATGCCACGAGGGCTGAGCCGCAGGCCTTGGGTTGCACAGCTCATAACCCGGCGGACACTGGGTCCCGCCTCGAACCTGCTGGGGAACCCCACCCAAAAGCCCCCCTTCCGGCCCTCGGGCTTCCCCCTCCCACTCTCCCCATTTTGATCCCCCTTTCCTCCCAGGCCATGGCCAGAGCGCAGCCCAGCACTGCCTTCCCCTTCCCCAGGGGCAGCGGGACTTGATGGTCCACCCAGGGTTGGGGCCCATGGGCAGTGGAAGTTGGTGGGGTCCTTGAACTTCAGGAGGTCAGACCTCCTGAGACTGCTGTAGGTGCTGAGGCTGTGGCTGCCTTCTCTGTCAGGAGCTGGGGAGGTGAAGGGGCCATGTGAGTGGGTAGTGGGGGGCAAAGGGTGGCAGTGGGGACAACGGGAGAGGCAGCAGAGGGAGCGGAGTGATGAAGGGGGCGGTGTGGGCTGTGCCCGGGGCATCAGACTGGGCCAGCTTTGGGGGACTACATACAGTGCCGCAAGGAGGAAGCTGTGGTCCCCTGATGCCAGCTATTTCTACTTATGGGCTAGGAATGCCCTGGGCAGGTGCGGTGGCCTCCCCCACTGCAGCGATGTTCCTGGAGGGCATTCGGGGCCCATTCAGCTCTCTGGCACACAGTAGGTGCTTGGTGAACTCATGTAGTGGTCAAGAGTCAGCCGCCCTGGACTCAGATCCTGATCCGGCGCAAAGTGTGATCTTGGGCTGGTCTTCCACCTCCTCAAGATTAGCTTCCGTGACAATAGGGCCTCGTAGGGCTGTGGGTCAATGCCAGCTGCCGTGTCTTCTATAACATGTGCACATTGCATTGACCCCATTTTCTGGGTGTCTGTAAACCGATGACATCATAGGCAAGAAAAAAATCCCCCAGTGTCTCTGACAGAAAAGGCCAGCCACAGCTGCCTGGAGGCCTCTGGGTGGGTGCTGGGGGGGTGAGGCGGAGTGGTACCCCCACCTGGACCTGACCTATATCTCTGGGAATTCTGGGGCGCTGGGGTCCAGCACATCCATCAGATTAGGGGGCTAGCCCCTTCCCCCATAAGCCCCATATAAAAATGGAGACCTCCCCCAGTTCTCTACCGCCCCCCCCCCCCCCGTGGGGCTCTGATGGGCTACAGCCAGATATCCAGGCTAAGAACCCAAGCCCCTCCCCACAGTGGGAGGACAGCGCCCCCTAATGGCAAGCCATGGACGTACATGATTGTCGAGCAGCTGTCTCCGGTCCGAGGTGCAGGGCGGTTTTGGACAATTGTTTCATTTTTCTTTTTGTATGCACACGTTATTATTACTACCATTTTGTTTTACTGATCCATTTCCAAGTTAGCTGCAGACATTTTGATCCTTTTCCTCTAAACATTTCAACGTGACTCTTCTCCAACGAGGGCATCTCTGACATCAAGTTATCAGATTCAGGCGTTCAATATCAGGAGAACAGAGTCAGATACAAAGTCCACATTCAGATTTCATCCGTATCTCAGGATTCTCCGTTACAGCAATACTCACCTTCCACCTCTGTTGAGGGTCCAGTCAGACATTGCATTCAGTTGTCCTGTCTCTTTAGTCTCCTTTATTCTAGAACATTCCAAAGCTCTTCTTCACCTTTCATGCATTGGCATTTTTAAAGAGTCCAGGCCAGTTGTTTTGTAGAAAGGCCCTTGGGTGGGCTTTATCTGATGTTTCTTTATGACTTCGGTTCAGATTATGGAGTTTTGGTAGAAAGACCACAGATATAGTACGTCCTTCTCAGAACATTATTTTAAATATGTGACCCAGAGAGGGGGAGAAAACTGGAAACACAGTGAGGCTCCAATGTCCTCTCTGCACTTAGTTGCTGTGTGACCTTGAGCAGGTGATTGCACCTCTCTGAGCTGAAGTTTTCTCACCTGTAACATGGGCTGGTGACCTGGCCCCAAAGGCCTGGGGGTGGCGTAATGGAGGAGCTGTGCAACCGGTGGGGAGGGTGATGCCGGTACCATGGCTTCTCGATTCTCCTCTGCACCTTGCACCCCTCCGCTGACCCAGGGTGTGGTGGCAGGAAGAGAAGGGTAAGCAGCCAGGCTCTCCTCATCTGTCCCCTGGGCCCCGGGGAGTCCATAGCAGTCGAGGAGATGAGCAGGCAGGCCAGGAGGGGAAACCCAGGCCAGTGGCCCAGAAATTTCCCCACACTCAGTAGGCCCAGCAGGGCTGAACCCTCATACTCCTGGTCCCCACAACCCATAGACCTCCAGCTTCGCTTGGTGAGATGCTTTGGGCCAGGGAGAACGGAGGCTGCCGGGCTGGGCACTGCCCCTGCAGAGGCCCCCAGGGGCCCCGGGTGTGCGTCAGAAGAATGAGCTTCTGCTCGAGGGAGGAGGCTGGGCGTGTGTGGGTGAGGACAGTGCCGTGTGGCCAGTGGTGTGCAAAGGTCAGGTTATATTTATTATTTCAGATTTATATGGTGACGTTTCAGATGTGCGCAGAAAGAATGCACAGGCCGTGTACCCACCCCCTCCTGGCTGTGCTGGCCTCCTTGCTGCTCTCCGTCCATTACAGAAAAGCGTGTTAATTTTCCCTGTTCCCTTGAGTGGAGAGAAGGGCAGAGAAGCCCCTTAGACCAGCCAGGCCTCTACCATGGTGGGGTGTGTGTGGGGGGTGGTAAATGGCTCTGCTCTCTTTCCCAAACTAAGAAAGCCTCACTCTGTGCATCCCATAAGTAGCCACTGCCTGCCTGTCAGACACCACCTGGGTGGCTGTAGGTATGGGGGCGTTTTGGGGGGGAGGGTTGGGCATGCGACCTCCTGACCCCTTCCTCCCCTCTCCCTCCCCTCCCTCCCTGGAGCTCTTGTTATGGGCCTGCCCAGAAACCTGCTTCCTGCTCCCCTTTGGTTCTACCAGGAAGGACAAACCTCCTTCTGGAGGGTCTCAGCTGAGACTTTCCTCTCTCAAACCCCCTGCTGCAAAGGGTCTTAGTTTTCAAAGGGCCCTGGAAACATGCCCATGAAAAACGCATGTTCCTGCAAAACGTGAGACTTGGCCCTGCGCCGCACCATGTACTAGCATGACACCTAACACACACGTCTAGCAGAAATTCGCACTGTGGACCTGTGCCAGAGGGCAGGTGGGAGGCAACTGAATTAATCCACGGGGGAGGGGGTGGGGCTGGGACCAGGCAGGGGAGTGGTCCAGGGGGTCTGGGAGGACTTCTCTGACGGGTTGGATGTGAGCATGAGCGAAGAACAGAGGCGGGAGCCTCCAACGTGTTTGGCCTGAGATGTGGAGGGGCTGGAGCCAGTTCAAGGAGATGTGAAATCAGGTGTTTCCATTCTGGTTCCTCTTCTGGACCGTGAGGCTTGGGCTCAGGCCTGAGCTTGACCGTGACTGGAGACCTGGCCTCCTGGGACCTGAGGTGCTGGAGGGAGGGTGGGTGCCTGGGGCCCACTGAGCCTCACCAGTTTGTCCTACCTTCCAGGGTCAAGCCCCCACAGACGCCTGTGCCGGAGACCCCAGCCTTTACTACGATGAGGCTGCCAAGAGGTGCTGTTTCCGCTGCCCTGTGGGTGAGTGAGGGTGCCGGGGCTGGGGCAAAGGAGGGGTCGGGGAGCCGGCATCACCACTGTCATGTTGACTAAAGGTTCTGAAGGCCACCTGCTGCAAGTCTTTTTAAATTAATAACCGTCCCTTACGGAACAGGCGCTGTACGGACACTCACCTGAGACCTTCCCATGCACCGTATCGTCTTGGCGGATGCTCATGGTTGTCTTTCGTTATTCCCATTTTCAGAGGAGGCTTTGGGGGTGCTGCGAGGTTAAATAAGTTGCCCGAGGTCACGAGCTGGGAAATGGCAGAACTGGCTGGGGCTGGAGCCCAGGGCCCCGTGACCCCCGAATCTGGGCTGTCTACACCCCCGACCATCTGGATGCCTGTCCCCTTGGCCTCAGCTTTGCTCTCTGCAGGCGGTGACAGGCCCCCATGCACATTAAGGGCCCATGGCTGGAGCTGGGCAGGGGTCCGGTCAAGCCGCTCTTAGACCATGAAGCCGACAGAGCCTGGGCTCAGGCCAACAAGGGAGGGAGAGAGACACCTTGGGGACTTGGTATTTTCTATTTCCAAAGTTGTTCTGAGCAGTTGTCGTAGGACAAAGAGTGGAACTGTATTATTAGCCCTTCTGACCTTTGTTTTGCGGGTTAGTGTTGGCCTCGAAGTATACATCAGGTGGGTCCCTATATTTTTTTTTTAGTGCTTAGGACCTCACTGCCAGCCAGCCACCCACCCACGCTTTCACCCACTCACTAACTCCGCCACCTGGCCGGCCCTCCTGCCGTCTCCTCAGATCCTTCCCATGCCCTGCAGCCCCCTGACCCCACCCTGGTGGGGCCTGGACAGAGAGTGGGTGGAGAGAAGGTGACATCCCGGGCCCAGGCTCCCTCCACATAGACACTGTGCCTTGGGAAGAGGGGGCTCCCCCCATCTGCCACGCTGCTTCTCCAGGGCCTAGTCACTGGCAGTGGCTGAGTACTTCTTGTGGGCGGGGCATTTTGGTGGAGTTTTATTGACCCTGTGCTTCCGGGCAGGCAAGAGAGGAAAAACCAAAAACCCACAAAAACCCCTTCCTCGGTCTCTTGGGGAAATTTCTGACATTTTGCCCGCCCTCTGCAATCAGCGCTCAGCTGTGTGGCAGGTTTTCGCGGGGGCGCTGGCTGGTGAAGGAAGGAAACAGGGAGACCTTTGAAACTGAGATGTTTAGATGTCATTGAAGCCCTCCTCTGCCCCAGGCCTCCAATACCCTTCTGAGCATCCTTGACAGCTGATGCTCTACTTACACACCCTTGGTGATGGGGAGCTTACTCACTGCTTCCTAGCACTGGCAATGATTTGCACTGATGAACATGCACTGTGGCAGCCACGGTGCTGAGCCCTTTACCTATATAGTAGCTCACTGAACCCAATAGGACACCCAGACAGGGAGCTAGGACATGGTGAAGTTCAGGGATTTGTCCATAGTCACATGCTAGGACGTGGCTCAGGTGGGGCTCAAACTTGGCCATCTGACCGAGAGCCACAGCTCCTCAGTCTTATCTGGCGCTGACCCCCCAAGGCACCTCTGGTGTTGGAGAGGCAGCAGAGCACACCAGAGGAGAGCCAAGCCCCTCGCTGTTCTGTGCCGCTTCCCAGATCACCCTCCTGCTTGCACTCTGACTCACTGTCCACAGGGAAGGGCCTCCCTGCAGGGGTGCGAGGCCTGCCCAGGTGCGGAGGGACCCAGTGAAGCCAGGCTGGATATTCAATGGAGAGTGTGGTTTGTTGGGGGCCAGGAGAGTGCATCCCACCGAGTGCCCGGAGACCAGGGTTTCTCCAAGAGCTGCGAGCAGGACGGAGGAGGAAGAGGCCCTCGCCCCCTGTCCGCCCTGCCTGCCCTTGGCCAAGCTCAGCCAGCCCACACTTCCCTCCCATATCTGTGGTTCTTCAAGGGAGCAGGAGAATCATCAGACAAACATCTTTCAGCCCCAATTCCAAAGGCAAGGAGAAAGCATCTGGTGGCCCAGATGAGTCCAGATGTTGACCTTTGCTCTGGTTCCCCAAAGCCAGGACTGCCCTGGACCGCTGCTGGGGGGAGGGGTGGGATGGAAACCATTCCCCAGGAATGGGGGCCCATGGGCTGGGAAGCCCTTCCAAAATCTGTCCGTTGTAATGGGCTGTCAGACCCAAGGGCAGTGCTGCTGGGGACCGTGGGGACACACACCTGGGGGACCTGAACTGGCTGGAGTGCATAGGGGGGCTTCTTTGAGGAGTTGGCATCTAAAGGAGACCTCAGGGTGAGCAGGACTGTGCCAGGCCAAGGTGGGGAGGCGGTGTGCTTTGGTCAGAGGGCATAGAAGATGCTAAGACCTGGAGTGAACAAGGACGGGCCACTCAAGAACTGGGCGTCGCTCCAAGTGGTGGAGGCACAGGGCTGAAGGGGGTGGGGGAGGGGACAGTGTGGGAGCTGGTGGCCCAGACTCAGGGAAGTTTCTGGGGCCAAAGCGGCCGGGGCTGGGTTGCCTACCCCACAGGGAGCTGAGCCACAGGGAGCCCTGACTGGTGCAGCTCAGCCGGTTGGACATCGTCCTACAAAGTGAAAGGTTGCCTGTTGGACAAGCGCACTGCCATCATTTTTGTTCCTGATGATGGAAGTGATGCTCAGTGGTGAAGATCTCTGTGGAAAATGGGAAAGGGAGAGAAGAGAAATGAGCAAACACTCCAAACTCTTTTGCTCCCTCTGCTCCAGCCCCTGTGGCCTTTGTAGTGTTTGCACAAGCCAAGCCTGCTCCTCCAGGGGCCTCTGCACTGACCGTGCCCTCTGCCCCGAGGGCTCCACCCCCCAGCCTCCGGCCTCCGCTGGGCCATGCTCTGCAGGACTTACTCTCCACTCCCCGAGGCTCCTTTATTTTCGTCAGAGTTTGTATCCACATTGGAAACCTGCTTGCTAATTTGTTTCTTTATGGGCTCCTCTCTGTAACCCCAGAGTGTAAGCTCCATGGGAGCGGGGTCCTCCTCTTCCTCAATCTTGATAGCGCCACCCAGGTGGTGCTCAGGAAACGTGAGCTGAGTGGGAAAGAAAGATCCCCCACCAAATAAGTCACTCCGAGCTTTGAATTTTACTTTATTTTTTTGCAAAAGCCTCATTCTCAGCAGCATCCACAGACTTGTCCAGAATGACTCGGGCCGGGCACAGAAATGTTGAAAATGTCTGGTCTACAGTCTTTTGGTTGCAATGAGCAGAACCCTAACTCACTCAGACCCAAGCAAGACACAAGAGAAATAATTGGCTCAATAATGAAAAAATCCAGGGCGCCATAAATTCGGGTTTGAACAACCTCATCAGGAGTCCATTGCTCTGTCTCTGCGGCCTCGGTGGGCCTCTGAGTCACCTCCTTCCCAGGAGGACCCTGCCCACACTGCAGCAGCCGTGACAGGGCAGCTCTGGGACCAAACTGCCCTTTCAACAGGGGATCCGACAGTCGAGGGAGGTTCTTCCTGGTAGCTTTTGCAAAAGCTCAGTGATGAACCTCAGTGATGAGGTTCACTGGCTGGCATGGATCATGGCCCTGCGCGACTCAATCAGCTCCGATACCCAGATCAGAGTGTTGAAGAAAATGTACTCTGATTGGCCTGTGTAGGTCACGTGCCTAGTCTAAAGAATGAAGTATTCTGATTGGCTTGCTGGGGTCATGTGCTCGTTTGGAAGCCGCCTGTAGGAGGCTGACTAGGAGTGGGGCAGAGCTGGTAAACCCCCTGTGCACAGCCAGGGCACCGCCTACCTGTTTGCCCCATGCATTCGGTCTCAGCAGCGTGCCTCTCCCCACCCCAATCCTGTACAGTAGGATTCAGGAGCAGCTGGGTGATTCGCGAGCCTTTCATCAAGTTGGATTAGGCCTCTCAAGGTCTAGGGCCGGGGGCTCCCTAGTTCTTACCACGCAGCAGGACCCCAGGAATGAGCAGCGCTTGCTGTGTGCCCAGGACTGCTGCAGGACCTCACCCCTGTTTGTCTTCACAACCCTTTTCATCCTTTTGACAGCCCTGGGCCGCGCATCCTATTGTTAACTTACTAGTGCCCACGAGGCCTTGGTCGCGTGCCCAAGGCCGCCTAGTTGGCCTGCAGCAGCCTAGGAATCCCAGGCCCAGCTCTCCTCCCCACGCCACGCTGCTCCCACTGCCTGGCAGGCACCTCAGGCCTCCGTCTTTAACACGAGAATTGCACTGATGCGTTTGGGGGTTCAGGGGTGAGAGGTGGAGGCGGTGACCCCTGGGAGTTTGCCTAGGTGGCCCGGCCTGCAGCGTCTCTGCTTCCTTTCCCAGGGCTGTCCCCGCAGCAGCGGTGCCCGCGGGGGTCGTCCGACTGCAAGAAGCAGTGTCCACGGGACCACTACCTGGACAGGGACGGCCGCTGCACAGCCTGCGTGAGCTGTCACGGTAAGAGCATGTGAGGGACAGGCAGAGAATCTAGAAAGTGTGCGGGGGCGGGGGGGATGCGTCAAGATGTGGTGGCTACACTCTGAATGGGTCCCCCGGTGCCTCAGTTTACTGCCTTGGATTTGCCAGTTGATATCAGCCATGATCTTTTGCATCCACGCTTTTGAGAGAGCCTCAGTTAACAGGCCTCCTCAAGGCAGGCACTCAGTTACTGAGTTTAATTTCTGCAAAACCCACAGGGGAAGATTCTTGTCTTATCCCTGCTTTGCAATGAGGAAACTGAGGCTTAGGGAGGCCAAGGAAGGGCCTTTCCAGAGTTACAAAACTCTGGTAAGACCCGCCCCCCGCCCCGAGTTTGAACCGGTGGTCTGAGGCCCCAAGCTGTGCTCTTTTCCAGGACCGCAGCGGTCCAGGAGGACTCTTACGCTGGATGCTTGTGTTGTGAGTGTCTTCTGATGGTTCTTGAGTGTGGTTTGTGTGCCAGCTGGTGTTTGTTTTGCTTTAGCGTGGATTTTTTGCGGGGTGGAGTGGGGAAATTTATTGAGATTTCTTAGCCGAACGAACATTCCTATTTCTCAGCATATTGGGTGTGTTTGGAAAAAAAAAAAAATATATATATATATACTCTGCTTGCTCCACACAAAATTCTGTATGTGCCTATTCGGTCATGTTTATTAATTGTGTTATTTAAATGATGTCCATTCTCAGTTTAGTCGCCTCCACAAAGGCCCATTTCAGAGGCAGGCGTGTTCACATCTGTCTGCCCGCGTGCTTGGTTTTCATCCGATTTCATGGTGTTCTGTCTGTTTTTGCTTCAGATAAGTCAAAGCCGTGTTGTTAGGTAGAATGACCATTAATATTAAGTTTCCTTGGTGAGGTCTACCGTTCATCAACATGAAAGATGCCTCTTTGTTCCTTGCGATGTGTTTGTCTTCATCCCGTTCTTATTTGATACCGGGATTGCTATTCTATGTTTGTTAGCATTCCTCTGATACAGCTTTAATGTTTTAAAACGAAGGACTGCATTTTATTGAGGGAACGGTACATGTGTTCGCTACTAAAAATTCAGCCAATAGAGCAGTGTAAGGGAGCAGACCAGCCCCCCACATTACTGGGTACTGGACGCGTCTCTGTACCTCTCTTTAGAGAGTGGGTGGGTCAGTAGACACACGACACACACATAGAAAGAAGGAATTTTTAAACAGTGATTTTATTTATTTACTTTTAGAGAGGAGATGGGAGGGAGAAAGAGAGGGAGAGAAACACAGAGAGCGAGAGGCCATCAGCTGCCTCTCACCCCCAACTGGGGGCCTGGCCCACAACCCAGGCAGTGCCCTGACTGGGAATCGAACTGGCAGCCTTTCAGTTTGGCAGGCCAGCGCTCAGTCACTGAGCCATACCAGCCAGGGCAATGAAGGAGTTTTTTAGGAGGATAAGATCATACTCCCTATGGCATTAAAGCGATTATATTTAGTTCCATTCAGATGTATTCGAGGAAGAAGCTGAAGGGAAGAACGTAAACAATTATGAGAGATAGCGGTTCCTAACAAAGCCTCCTAAAATTAAGAAAAGAGGTTCTGAAAATCACGGTGTGGTTAGGAATCAGTTAAGGAACGACTATTTCTTGTGATAAATTCGTATTCCACTTGACTCTTTGTAGTGAAAAATGAAGGAATTAGCTGGCCAACCTCCCCGGCCTCTTCCTGGCTTTCATTGCGTCCCTGTTTTCACCTCGTCCCAGCCCGCGGTGGTCCTGTTCTTTCCTCTGACCCCGAGGCCCTCGGCGTGGGAGCTGTGCTTCACTGTCTAAGTGCGGCCCTCACGCACCATGAGCAGTTCCCACGCTTCTCCGTCCCTGAACTTTTCACGCTGATTTATTGCTCGACTTCGTGGGCATGTGGGTTTTCCCGGAAGGACTCACACCTCCCTCTATTTCTTTCCTGTCTGAGAACATTTGTTGCCTGTATCATGGGTGAAGGACAACTTTGGAGCCAGAGTGTTGTCCTGGGACGTGTTTTTTCTAGACTCCGTGGGCGTTGGCTCACTGTCTTCTTGTGATTAATGTCGCTGCACAGGGGTCCGCTGTCACCCTTGCTCTCTGTAGGTGACTGCAAGAATAATTCTTTCTTTATCCTTAAGGATTAAAGAATGTAACCGGAATAGGCTTTGCTGTTCATTGCTTGGAAACAGTTCTTCCTGGAATCTGGTACATGTTTTCTTTCTTTCTTTTTTTATTAACATTTCTTCACCTCATTTATTTTTTTTAACATTTTAAAAAAGATTTTTATTTATTGATTTTTAGAGAGAGGAGAAGGGAAGGAGAAAGAGAGGGAGGGAAACATCCATGTGTGGTTGCCTCTTTCATGCCTCCTTAATGGGGACCTGGCCTGCAACCCAGGCATGTGCCCTGACTGGGAATTGAACCAGCAACTCTTTGGTTCACAGGCCCTCGCTCAAACCATTGAGCTATAGCTGGTACGTCTTTTCTATCTGCAGCTTGTGTTCTTCCTTCCTTCTGGGGAAACTGGTGTGGACTTTACATACATATGGGCAGGAGTGGGTTTACAAGTTGTGAGAATGCAGAACACAGAACTTGTGCTTGTAGTGTTACTGATTGGTTATTGTATCATTTTCCATATGAACAACTGTACACCTACATTTGCCCACCCTTGTATATTTCAAGGTCAACTCCATCGACTCTAGTTATCCTTCTGCTTGTCAAGGGGTGCTTGCATTCATTCACTTTTACCGGTGACTTTGTTCTATTTGAGATACAATTCACCATTTAAAAAAATTTTTCATAATGTAGTTAACGATTCTGGTGGAAATGCTGATTCCACTGTTCGGTATTTTTAAATGCTTACTGCTTAATTCAGCAAATTCTGAGATCACCACAAAACCAAACAGACTATGAGATTTCAAAAGACGGTCAGACTGCAAAGCGTGAACAGGAACTAAGTCAATTACTAGTGTGGTGTGCTTGTATTCTCTACAGTTAAAAACTACCAGAAATTATTGCTAGAAAAAAGTACAAGTTCTTCGTTTGTGTCTTTTCTGCCCCATAGGTTTAGCACATAATTATTATAAGACGAATAATAATCAGTTACCTCAGTGGCAGTTAGCAAAAGCATAGTTGTTGATACTGCATTGTGTAATGACATTGAGTTACCTTTCAGTAACAATACAATGAGTTTGCTTACTTTGACCTCATGGGCAGACTTCCTAATACTTAGCACTTCATTGTTCACATAACTGAAATATTGTGATGCATTTAATTTGTAAAATTCACCGTTTTAGAGTGCACGATGCAGTGATTTTATTGTACTGTACTCACCATGTGTAACCCCCCCACCGCTGTCTAACTCCCGAACATCTCTACCTCCCTGCCGAGGAAGCCCATTACCTCCCAGTTCTTTCTGCCCCTCATCTCACCCTGCCCACTTCTCTCTCTACAAACTTGCCTACTTTGGACATTTCCATGGAAATGGGGCCATGCAGTGCATGGTTTTCAGTGCCAGGCTTCCTTTGCTTTGCACAGAGTTGCCAAGGTTCGTCCACATTGTAACAGGTCTCAGGGCCCTGTTGCTTTCAGTGGCTCCGTACGATCTGATCTTCGTATAGATACACTGCATCGCATATACAGCATATACAGTGTGCTGGGCGTTGGGGTTATTCCTACTTTTTGGCTGTCGTAAATCAAGCTGCTGTGGTCATTCTCGCAGGAGTGTTTGTGTGGATACACGTGTTTGGTTCTCTTGGGTAAGAGTGGAAATGCTGCATCTCACAGGAAGATCTGCGTTCAGCTCCTGGAGGGGCTGCTGTCAAGCTGGTTCCCACCGGCACTGTGGGAGCATCTGGTTTCTCCACGTCCTCCCCACTGCGTGTGTCTTTGCTTCTTGCCATCCTGGTGGATGTGAAGTGGGGTCTCACTGTGGTTTTGGTTTTGGTTTGTGTTTCCATGACGACTAATAATGCTGAGCATCTTTTCCTGTGCGTACTGGCCACTCGTATGTCTCCTCTGGAGAAGAATTTTCTCAAATCCTTGGCTTGTTGAGACAAACAAACAAACAAACAAACAAACAAACCCAGTAGACCTTTTTAAAGAACAGTTTTTGATTTTTAGAAAGATTGAGCAGGAAGTCCCGAGAGTTCCCACGTGCCCCCCTCTCCACCACACCCCACGGCTTCTCCCGGTATTAACAGCTCACTTAGTGAAGTACATTGTTACAGCTGGCGAGCCGGTACTGGCGCCTTGTTAACTGAAGTGCAGAGGCCTCGCCAAGGCTCACTCTGCGTTCGCAGTTCTGTGGTTTGGGGCACGTGTGTCACGTTGTCACGTCGAGACGCCACCGTTGCAGCATCACCGGGGTGCATCTCTGGGCCCTAACAGTCCCCTGTGCTCTGCCTGTTCTTTCCCCCACCCTTGACCACTGGACCCTGGCAGCCACTGACCTTTTCACTGTCTCCATAGTTTTGCCTTTTCCAGAGTGTTATGGAGCCGGAATCACAGTATGTATAGTCTCTTCAGGTTGGTTTCTTTCACTTAGAAATATGTGTTCAATGACCCTCCATGTCTTTTTTGCCCATTTAAAAATGGGGGTGTTAGTTTATTTTTAATACCAGTTTAGTGACCTGCAGGGACGTGGGCTGGAGGTGGGGGCTGCCTCGTGGACCCCACCTGCCGTCTTGCCCTCATCTCAGGAACACTCTGGAAAGGGCTGAGCGTGCCGGCTGCCCTGCCCAGTGGAAGACCACGGCAGCACGCCCTCACGTGCTGGACTGTCCCTGGGGGGGGCTGGGATCCCTTCCCCAGACCCCCTTCTGTCCTCTGTGAGCCTTCTCTGTGTCCCTCAGACGACCTCGTGGAGAGGAAGCCATGCTCGGAGAGTTCGCCCCGCGTCTGTGAGTGCCAGCCCGGGATGTTCTGCAGCACCACCGCCACCAACTCCTGTGCCCGCTGCTCCCCCCACTCCGCCTGCCCTGCAGGGACGGCCGTCAAGTCCCCAGGTAGGTGCCCCGACTCCCGGGGCTGCGCCCTCCCCACCGACGCCCAGGTGACTTCCCGCCTCCCACATCCTCCTTCCGTGGGACGGATCACTTCTTTCGTGATGGGGCCTTGGTGCGCCACACCCCCTTGCTGCCCCTTGCCCTCACCTGCGTCCCGGGCTCAGAGAGACCCTGGCAGCCTAAGGCCCAGGCATGGCTAGAAGAGGTCTTGGGACAGTTTTAGACTCTGGGCAAAAGTTCTCGGATGTCCGATAAACAGGAGAGAAACCTCAAGTGTCTGTCCTGGGAGATTCCTGGGAATTTAGGGCTGGTTTCCCTGTTTCACAACCGAGGCCTTGGGAGTTAGACCAGCAGGAGGTTGGGCACCAGGCTCAAGCCTGAGACTTGGCTTCCTTTTCCAACTTGCTGTGTGACCTCGAGTGAGTTCCTTATGTTCTTTGGGCTTCTCATTTTCTGACAGTACAAGGAGGGCTGGTGGCCAGAGGGCAGAGAAGGGCCATAGGTCCCGTGTGGGTGGCATCCCTACCTTTCAGAAGGGAGGCGTGGGGCATGGCTGGGCTTTGGACCACAGCCCAGAAGAGGTGCCGCAGCCACACAGGGCACATGGGGAGGGGGCGGGGGCATGAGAGGGAGCCACGTCTGCTGGGGAGGACAGTGCTCGTGACCTGGTCCTTTTCTAAAGTCGCTACCCCACCCTCCCTCTCCTTCCCTCCCTCTCTCCCCTGCCCCCACCTCCAGGGTCTCCCCCATGGCAGATAGCCAAAATCTCCCAGGCAAAACCAATCAGATTGTGTGTGTGTCTCTCTCTCACACAAACCTGCCTAAAACACTTAGTATCTTCCTTTACTCTAACGATAAGGGCGTGATCCTTTGATAAAAGAGAACAGGTTTTTTTAGGGGCTTTTTTAAAGCCTGCATAACTGTGGCATTTCTGGGTTGCTGGTTACCGGGTTCAGACTCGGGGGCCCCAGCACCCCTCACCTCTCTGCCTCTTCCTTCCATGTTTCAGAGCCTTAGCTGTGCCTGGTGGGAGTGGTGGGGGCAAGTCCATCCACTCCATCTTCCCAGAAGCAGAGTCCTTTTTTTAACCATTTTATTTATTTATTTTTAGAGAGAAGAGTAGGGAGGGACAAAGAGAGGGAGAGAAACATTGATTGGTTGCCTCTCATATGCACCCTGGCCAGGGGCTGAACTGGTAACCCAGGCCTGTGCCCTCACTGGGAATCAAACTAGTGACCTTACACTTTGCGGGATGACGCTCAACCCACTGAGCCGCACAGGTCACAGCCAGAAGCAGAGTCTTGAGGACGAGATCCTTAACACGAAGCACCGTGGTGCGGCCCCTCGGCCCTCCGGCCTCAGCTTCCAGCACCAGCCCCTCTCTATGGGGGCCCCTCCTGTCTGTCTGCCTTCAGGTCCATGCACAGGCAGTGCTCTCCCTCCTACCAGCCCTTTGCACATGCGGCGCCCTCTGTCTGGGACCCCCGTCCCTCACCATTCACTTGGTTAGCTCCTCCGCAGCCTTGAGCTGGGTCACCCAGAGCGCTCTGCCACGCGCGAACAGGGGCCTGGTTGGGGGAGTAGAAAGTGCTCTGGACTGGGCATCAGATACCCGTGGTTTAGTATAGTTTTGCATCTGTGGGGTGTGTTCCCACCCTCTGTGGGCCTCGGTCTCCCCATCCGTCAGATGCCTTGAGTCACGTGGACCAGCTGGGGCTAGTGTGGTTCTCTCCGAGGTTTTCCTGTGATGGCCACACGGGGGCGCCAGAGTCAGCTCTTCACGGCCCCTGCAGCCCCTGTCCGAGTTGGGACCACTGGTGCTGGCCATACGGACCACTGCACACCTAAAGTGTGTCCAGTGGCATTGAGAAATGCTGCCGGTGTGGAATAGGCATTGGACTTCAAATGCTTCGCATGAAAAAATGGAAAACATCTCATTAATTATTCTTTACACCAATTACCTGCTGATGCGGTATTTTAGATCTATTGGGTTAGATAAATATATTATTTAAATTAATTTCACATGTTTCTTTTTACTTTTTAAAAAATATGGCTACTAGAAAATTTAAAATGGCCTGTGTGATTCACATATTTCTATTATTTATTTATTTATTTCTATTTTTTGACAGAGGGGAAGGGAGGGAGGAAGGGAGAGAAACATCAATCAGTTGCCTCTCCTGTGCCCCCTACTGGGAACCTGGCCCGTAACCCAGGCATGTGCCCTGACTGGGAATCAAACCGGCAGCGCTTTGGTTCTCTCAATCCACTGAACCACACCAGCTAGTGCTGATTCACATCATGTTTCTATTGGCCAGCGCCTCTTTGGAAGCGCCCCAACCTTCGGCTGCCAAACCCTGGCTCATGTCTAGATTCTGCTGTGGTCTCTCTCATGGGGCACCTCTTAGGGCCTCGGTCTCTCCAACTGTGTAAAGGGGAAAGCAGTTTCTGCTGTTGCTTCAGCTCCCGGCTAAGCCCCACGCCGAGAGCTTGCCTTGGCTCTCATTCCTGAGGCTCACGGAACCCCTTAGAGCAGGTGTATTGGCTCCATCTTACAAGTGAGGAAGCTGGGTCCAGAGACGGCAGGCAAACTGCTCAGGGCCACAGAGCAGAGAGTGTCTGAGCTAGGGTTTGAATGTCACCCCGATCTGGGTCTTGTCATCCCACCGCACTGCAGATACGTGAGATAAGTCAGCCTCGTTCACACCTGCATCCTCTGAAGCCTTCAGATCCTATTTCACACCTGTGGGTCACCCCTAAGCGATGGGACAAGAGTCCAGATGAGGAAAAGGACACTCTGTTTTCTGGGCACTTGCTGTAGGTTGCGCTGGGTGACAGGCGCATTAGGCACCCTCTCTGTTTATTATGACAGCAGCCTTGCGAAGGCTGTATTATTGTTATAATCATTTGACTTGCGTGGCACAGCTGAGACATGACAGAGATGGCGGCAGACTCAGGTCCACTGATGGCAAGTGCTGTGTGTTTTCCTCTCCACTCCGCTTCTGCCCAGTGGAGCCTGTAGGACTCTTTGGGTTGCAAGTAACAAAATCTCAGTTTTTCGGCCCCTGTAACTAAAAAGTATGGGTATAGCCATGGATAGCTTCAGGTATAGCTGGATCCAGGAGCTCTGTCTTTTCCTGTCTCTCATCTGTACCTGCTTATGTTTTAGATATCTGTGAGATACCTACCAGCAGCTTCAGGCTTGCTTCCCACCCAACCCCAATGGGAAGGCAGCTTCTCCTTCCTATGTTTCCAACAATCAAAGACAAAACCTTGAAGTTGCATCTCACAGGTGTGGCTTGGATTGTGTGCCCATTCCTAAGCCAATCCATCGTGGCCAGAGGAATGGAATAATTTGATTGGTCCAGCCTAGTCCCATGCCTACTCCTGGAGGGGAAGGGGGTCAGTCAGTCTAGCCCCTAGAAACAGATACTGGGTTTGGGGAGAGTGATTTCCCCAGAGAAGATTGGGGTGCGTCATACCAAGGGGGAATGGATGCTGGGCAGGTGCAAACACCAGATAGCCACCGTGTTTTCCAAATCCCTGGAGTCTTCAGACCCCTCGAGACCACGCCTGAAAGCACTGTGTCCTCCTGCAGGCACAGCGGAGAGGGACACCGTCTGTGAGCCGCTTCCCCCCGGGGCCGGCCTTGACTGTGGCACCAGCCCAGAGGACTGCAAGGCGCCCACCAGGTGACTCTGACCTACCCCCACGCGGTTGACCTTAGTGGGGGTGCTCTCTCTCCATAGGATGCCTGGGCCGTAGTTGGGGTCAGGGGTACAGGGGGGTTCAGCAAAGGGTGTCAGGGGTCCAGGGTGCCTCTCTGCCAAGTCCACAAATCATGTGAAGCCCTACTATGTGCCCAACCTGCCCTGATTGCACGGGAGACCCAGAAAACAGCCCTTGCTCCCTGACAAGGGCCCTGCCAGAGACTGCGGGCAAGAGGGCCTGGGACCTCTTTGCAGAAATGGTGGTCCCTGAGCCCAGGCCCCCCCATCAGCAGAACTGCCTGTTCCATCTCTGGCTTTTTTTCCCAGCGGTGCTGCCCCCCAGGCCAAGCCCATCCTGACCTCTGCAGACTCCGATGCCAGGACCACGCTTCTTGGAGGGGACACTCCCCTCACCCCAAAAGATGATTCCAAAATGACAAGGATGCCTGATTCTCTCTCCTCTGGGGAGAAGCCCAGTCCAGATCCAGGTAATTTCTTCAGAGAAGCCGTGGGATGTTTCTTACAGCAGTGGTGTCTGGTTGGTGGGTGACTTGTGTGCGGTGGTCCCGGCAGGCGGGCTCTGAGCCGTGGGCTCTCCCAGTGTGGGGAGAAGAGAGACTGAGGCTTCGAGGGCCAGGGTATGTAATGGAAGTGCCCGCTCATTTCGCCAGAGTTCTGAGCGCTTCCCGCACGCCAGACACTGTGGTGGGTGCTGGGCTTGCCGCTGAGCAGTCCAGCCTCTGCAGGTGTTGACTGGATGCCTTCCTGGTTCCCATGGCAGCAGACTGGGCTCCCAGTTTGCCCTTGTTTATTGCTGAATAGCCTTCCATGTATAGGTGCACCACCCTTTGCTTCTCCAAACGGTTTTTGGATATTTGGGTTGTTTCCACTTCTTGGCTACAATGAATAATGAAAAACAAGTCTTTGTGCGAGTGGTTTTTTTTTTTCATTTCTCTTGGAATATTCTTAAAAATTGATTTGTAGGACTTCTTATAATGCTGGGGATTGAGCCCTTTGCCCTGTAGTTGCACTCAAATATCTCCTCCCAGCCCGTGGTCTGCCTTCTCGTTCTCTTTACGGGCTTTCCACGAGGGGCGTTCTTGACCGTGATGTAGGCAGACCCGGGCATCGTTTCCTGTATGACTGGCGCTTTTTGTGTTCTGCTCTGTAAACCTTCCTCCTCTGACGTCACACGGGCGTCCTACACTTACTGTCCAAGGGACCTGCTTACAGGGTCACTTCTGCGTTTCATAGTTAGATTTGGCAGCTCCCTTGGCTCATGTGCATGGTGCAAGGCAGTGGGCACATTGAAAGCATCCATGTGGTTATCCAGTTGAACCGACATCAGCTGCCACATAAACTGCCCTGCCCCTGCGGCGTGCATGCCAGCTTTGTTGTGAATCGAAAGTCCTTGCGTGTGTGGGTGTGATTCTGGACTCTCTGTGCTGCTCTGTGGGTCTTTTTGTCTGTTCTGTGTGAATCCCACACTGTCTTCGTTTCCATTCTTTATCAATGTCTTTGTGGGGGGTGGAGCGACTTCTTCAACTCTGATCTTCAACAGTGCACTGGTTGTTCTAGTAGTTTGCATCTCCACATACACTTGAGAATCGGTGTTTCAAAGTCCACAAAGTGTCCTGTGGGGTTTCGGTTGGGGCTGCACAGAATCCACAGGTCGGTTTGCAGAGAATCTGCGTTATCGCGGTGTCGAGTGTGTGGCAGAGCCCTGCGTTTATTTAGTCCTCTTTAAGTTCTCCCAGTGATGCTTTGTTGTTCTCTATGTGGAGATGTTTGCATCTTTTTCTTAGATTTCTAGGTATTTGATATTTTCGATGAAAATGCAAATGGTATCTTTTTCGATACGTCATGTTCTAACTCTTTTTGAACCATGTGAAATTGCCAATATTTGATCTATCAAAACTGGTTTCATATGGCGCAACCCAAATATACAGACATGCAGTACAGATATAATAATGTTATATTCAGCCACCTTGCTGATTCATGTATTAGTTCTAATAACGTATCTGCAGATTCTTTGGGGTTTTCTGTGTACTAAGTGATATCATCTGTCTATAACAGGTTGCTATCTTCCTTTCTAAACCTTACTGCTTTTATTTCTTTTTCTTGCCTTATTGCATAGTATAGGATCCCTGTACCATGCTGAATAGAAGTTGGAGAGTGGGCATCCATGGCTCAGTGCTGATCTCAAAGGGGAAGTGGCTACCAAAGTTGTGAGGGGGGCAGTGGCATGGCAGTGAGTGTGGGGAGGGGACTGTGGCATAGTGGAAATGGTGGACAGTGGCGGGGACCAAAAGTGCAGGGGGCACTCAGAGCTCTTTTCCTCTGTTGCCTTAGCCACATTCCTTCCCTCTTGGAGCCTTGTGGCCATCCCTCTGGGGGGTGGAGCTGACGTGTGGAGTTTGGGAGCTGGCCGTGGTGCTGGGGGTACTTCAGTGACTGGGTGAGTGAGGCCTCTTCCATGGTGGCCCTGCCTGGACCGTCTCTGCTTCTTTTCCCAGGACTGTCCCCACAGCAGCGGTGCCCGCCGGGGTCCACCAAATGCCGGAAGAAGTGCGAGCCGGAGTACTACGTGGACGGGGACGGCCGGTGCACGGCCTGTGTGAGCTGTTCTGGAGGTAGGAGCCTGTCTTCCCACCAGGGGCTCCTTCCAGGGCCTGGGGGGCAGGGGTCTTGCAGGACAGACTGAGAGTCTGGGGGAGGGAAGCCCTGAGTTTGGTCTTGGGCTGCGCAGCCCTCAGGAGCTCGGCTCACTCTGTGTTTTGAGCTGTTAGTGTCTGGTGACTCCCACTCACTGCTGTGGGTTTCTGATGGCGGTGACCCCTTTTCCGCTCACTCACTCTCCCTCCAGCGAGGAAACACTTGTCACCGCCCTGTTCCAAATGGGTCTCACCATTTCTCGTCACTACTGTACCATGCATGGATTGCGATTGTCCCCATTTTGCAGAAGAGAAAACTGAGGCTTTGGAAAGTCAAGGGACTTCCAAAAGCCACAAGCCCTTGAGGGTGGCAGGGCTGGAGTTTGAACGTAGGGTGTCTGCTACCAGGTTCTGGGCTCTGGTTCCCCCATTGCGCTGCCCCTTAGGGCGTGCTCTTGGCCGGCGACTGCTGTGTGCATGGCAGGCTGACATCCTGTCTGTGTTTGCCCCGTGGCCAGCCTACCACAGCCCCAGAGCACCACCACCAGTCCTGCGACGTCCCTCAGGGCCACACAGGGCAGGGGAAGTGACCCAGGGCTCCGGAAGCCACGGTCGTTAGCAGCCCAGCCCACTCACAGAGGCTGCCGGGAAATGAGCAATTCCATCTCCTTGTCCTGGTTTCTTTCATGCAGCAGCAGCTGTGATCCAACTGGAGGGAGACCAGACAGAGGAAAGAACAGTCTGTGGCCACCAGGGGCCGCTGTTCCAGTAACCAAGGTAGCACAGTAAACTTGCTGAAAACCGAGTGGTGAAAATTATCCACACGTTGTACTCTTGTACTCGTGGATTCTGTGGGTCAGAATTCAGACAGGATGTTGTGGGGGCAGCTGGTCTCAGCGCCAAGATGTCTGGGGTCTCAGCTGGAAAACCCGAAGGCTGGAGCCTGGGATCCTCAATGTACCTGGGCACTGGTGCCAGCTACCTGCTGGCACCTCAGGTCCTCCCCATGGTGGCCTCTGTGTGGCTCACTTGAGGCTCTCGCATGGCCTGGTGGCTGGATTCCAAGAAGTGGGGCTGGGGGAGGGGCAGAGTCACATCTCCCTTTATGACCTTGCCTTTGAAGCCACGTGGTGTACGTTCCACCACTTTCTAGCTGTTGAGGTTGTTGCGGGTCCTGCTTGAGTCAAGGGAAGAAAAAAAAAGTCAAGCTTCTTGACCTGGCCAGTGCAGCTCAACCCATAAATGAAGAGGTCATGGGCTCGATTCCTGGTTAGGGCACATGCCTGGGTTGTGGGGTCATTCCCTGGGCATGTGCGAGAGGCAACCGATCGATGTGTCTGTCCCTCACTCTCCCCCTCCCTTCTCCTCTCTCTAAAATCAATAAGCACGCCTTTGAGCGAGGATTAAAAAAGAAAGATTAAGCTTCTTGGTGGGTCATTGCCAGGGCTCTGGAAGAGCAGATGGGGCCTGAACTACTGCTGTGACCCTTTGTGGGGAAGAGATGATCTGTCACAGCGATTACGTCAGATGGAGAAACAAGAGGTGGCTCTGGGCCCAAGAACTCCAACTCTCATTGTCGAAGCCCCGCGAGACAGCGAGGGGCTAAGTGCATGGGTTCTGGAGCCCAAGTGCCAGGCTTCAAATCTTGGCTCTACCACTTGTTAGCTTAGAAACTCCAGCAGGCTTCTCTGCACCTCAGCTTCCTCATCTGTAAAATGGGCATAATACCACTACTATCTCAGAGAGTTGTGGGAATGAAGTAGGTCTAACTGAATTAATCAGGTAGAGTGTAAAGAGGATTGCTTTGCGCATATGCGATTGTATTAATAGCTGTCATGCTCTTGCCCCTGCACGAATTCCCCAAGTCCCCTCCACACCTTGCCCCCAGTTGCGCTGCGGAGGTTGCAGAAAGAGGCTGTGCAGCCCCTCATCTTTATCATGCCAGGTCTCTCTGTGTCCTGCTCAGGAGACGTGTCCTTACTGAGCGCGTCATTTGGTCTCACCCAGCGGTGCCGTGATTCTGTTTTCCCATAAGCAGGACACACAGAGTAACCCCACATGTATGTCAGGGCATTACCATGCCTTTTCTTTGATAAAACCGCCGACATTCTATTTTTTGATTTTGGAAAAAACACTTTTTATCACTGAAAGTCCCAAACCTGTTGAGAAGAAGAGGGGACCAGGGACGCTGGAGGACTGCCACCCAGTTTCAAAGACCCACGGAGCCGTGGTCAGGCCTGGTCCATCAATTCCCAGGCCCACTTGCCCCTGACCTCTGCGTTAACGGGCCACTGAAGTAGGGTGGGCGTGGAATACAGAGCACGTGTTTCAAGTGTGCAACACGTGAGTTTTGACACATGTTTGCATGTGTGAAACCACCGCCCCAGCCAAAGTGATAAACTACCCGTCACCCCCAGCATCTCCTCCGTATCATCCCTCCCCCAACCCCACCCCTGCTCCCATCCCCAGGCAGTTCTGCTGCTTTTTCTCACTGTGCAATACGCTGCATTTTCTGGAAGCGGAATCCTAGAGGAAGGACACCTTTCCCGTCCGCCTTCTCTCACTCCGCATGGTTATTTGAGCCAAGAAATCAGCTCAGTGGAAAGTGAGAGGAGCGTTTGCTCCTGGGGAAATGCATCTCCGTGCCCCCCAGCCCTGGGGTGTCCTCTGCACCCCATGCCTTTGCCATCCCTCATCCTTCCTTATGACCTTTCCCTGTGTCCCTTAGACGACCTTGTGGAGAAGACGCCTTGCACGTGGAACTCCTCTCGTGTCTGTGAATGTCGGCCTGGCATGTTCTGTTCAACGTCAGCCACCAACACCTGTGCTCGCTGCGTCGCCTGCCCCATCGTCCCACCAGAGACAGTCGCCCAACTCCGGGGTAAGCAGTCCGCACCCCTAACCGAGGGTTGAGGTCTGTACCCCCGCAGCCGAAACTCTCCCACCCCACAGGGCAGGTGACCTTCAACCCCAGCTGTTGACTAGGTCAGGTCTGGGCTTGTTTTTTCTTTGACTAGATAGATCCAGTGACTGGCATGAAATCCAAACCTGTCATTTCGGTAAGAGGTTCTGATAAAGATTAAAAAAAAATTCATCTTCCTCAAACAGTTGGGCTGGCAAAATCTTGATTGTTTGCCAGACTGTTTTATTGACTCAAGACAGATGAATAGAAAGTTTATGAAGAGGCTTCCAGCTCAAGACGGTGGACATTTGCCAGAGACCAGAAAAGTATAAACTCTTGACGTGGAAAAACAACAGCAACAAAAAGCCCAGGCTCGTCAGCCGCTGAGAGATTTCAACCAATTCCCAGAAGGCAGAAAACATGGAAGGATGGTGACAAGCGGAACCAAGTGGAGGAAGGCTCCCAGAATTCACTCCATGGGGGCTGTGGGGCAAGGTGGCAGGGGTAGCTCGCTTGCAAAGATCCCGAGAGAGGCTCTGGGCTCAGAGCCGGGGAGTAAAATCAAGGATGGGGGTGAAATGCAGAATTGCAATTTGTAGTTTCGCCTTGAAAATAAAATTTTTAGAAATCTGTAACAATGGTTACTGACTGGTCTGAACAGTATCCAGGGTCTTTATCTCCTGGTGCAAATAATCCACTTTTCTGGCCGAAGACACTGAAGGGGTCTCTGCTGGAAGCCAGGGTTAGCGGTGCGGTGCTGCCCCTCCAGTATAAACCCTCCTTGTGTGTTTGGGAGCACGTCCTGTCTCTGGGCTCTTGTCGCTTCGCCGCTAAGTGAAGGTGTCCGGCTCACACGCCCCACCCAGAGCACGCAGGCGGATCCCCTGCTCAGGGAAGAGACCTGCCACGGAAAGGACATACTAGCTGCTGAAATATTCAGCAGTCATTTTTTTAAGAATCCGAATGAGCAGTCAAGATTTTCAGCCCTCAAGGAAAACCAAAGAATAACAAGATATGCCAAAACCTTACTACAGTTGAAGCAATGGTAAACCTAGGGACGGAAGAGAACTTAAAAGAATGCCGATGTGTCCACAGGAACATTCAAGAAGCTGTTACATCCACCAAGGGAGACCAGAATGCTGTGAAACAGGAAGAGTACAGACCAGAGGACAAGAGATGGCTTTTAGAAAGTGTGCTTGTTCATCGATTGCTTCTCAGCTCCCAATTCACCCTTCAGAGCTGAAGGATTTCTCCCTGGGAGCGCGATGTTAAGCTTTGCCAGTAGAGGGCGCTGGGGGGCCATGGCTGAGGGAAGAGACGTCTCTGGGCTGCGCTGCTGGTTGTTCCTCCAGCACCCTCAGTGCGTCCCCATTCGCTGGATGAGGGCAGGCAGTCCCTTGAAGACCTCCCAGCACCAGCCTAGACCTGGGGACCACCTTGGTGTGACCTTCCGAACAGGGATATGGGCACCCTCCAGGCCTTGTGTTGCGGGAATGCTGTCATTCCCTCTGCACGCACCCTACCTGATCACTTGGTCACTGGGGGCTCCAGGCCTTGCACTGGCGGTGGTACCCCAACTTTCCCTGCGTGCTTGACCTGGAAAACATGAGACTTCAGGATGAAAGCACCTACTGGAGGCAAAGCAGGGTGATCGTGAATCACCCATGCCTGGACATAGTAGGTGTACTTCCTATTAATTTATTTACTTACTTAACTTTCAACGACAGCTGACGTACAGTATTATATTAGGTTCAGGTGTACAGCAGGTGATTAGACGTTATGTAACTTACAAAATGATCTCCTTGACTAGACTAGTGCCCACCTGACACCTTTCATAGTTATTACAATAGTATGGATTCTCTTCCCTGTGCTGTACTTTACATCCCTGTGACTTCTTGTACGTGGCAATTCATGCATGTTAAACCCCTCAGCTCATTCACCCAGCCCCCACCCTCCCTTCCATCTGGCAACCATTGGTCTGTTCTCTGTATCTATGATTGTTTCTATTTTGTTCATTCATTTATTTTGTTCTTTAGATTCCACATACAAGTGAGATCATATGGTGCTTGTCTTTCTCTGGCTTATTTCACTTAGCATAACCCCCTCTAGGTCCATCCATGTTGTCGCAAATGGCAAGATTTCGTTCTTTTTAATGGCTGAGTAATATTCCACTGCATGTCTGTGCCACCTCTTCTTTATCTGCTTGTCTGTCGGTGGGCACTGAGGTTGCTTCCATGGCATGGCTGTTGTAAATAATGCTGCAGTGAACATAGGGGTGTGTTTTTAAATTAGTGCTTTAGGTTTCTTCAGGTGAAAAATCAGAAGTGGCCCTGGCTAGTGTGGCTCAGTGGATTGAGGGCCAGCCTGTGAACCAAAGGGTCGCCAGTTTGATTCCCAGTCAGGGCATGTGTCTGGGTTGTGGGCCACATCCCCAGTAGGGGGCGTGCAAGAAGCAACCACACATTGATGTTTCTCTCCACCTCTTTTCTCCTTTTTTATTATATTATAAAAAAATATAATAAGTAAGACCTTTAAAAAAACAGAAGTGGAGTTGTGGGTCATGTGGTAGTTGTATTTTTAATTTTTTTGAGGAAGCTCCATGCTGTTTTCCATAAGGGCTGCACCGATTTATAAACCACCTACCAACACTGCACGAGAATCCCCTTTTCTCTGCATCCTTGTCAAACACCTGTTCTTGGTTGATTTATTGATGACAGCCATTCCGACAGGTGTGAGGTGATCGCACTGTGGTTTTAATTTGCATCTTCCTGATTTGTGATGTTGATCATCTTTTTGTATGTCTATTGGTCATCTCTCTGTCCTCTTTAGAGAAGTGTCTGTTCAAGTCCTCTGCCAATTTTGTCACCACATTTTCTTTTGGGTGTTGTATGAGTTCCTCATTTATTTTGGATATTAACCCCTTACAGGGTGTATCATTGGTGAATGTTGTCTCTCGGTTGGTTGCTTTTTTGTTTTGTTGATGTTTTTCTTTGCTGTGCAAAACCTTTTTAGTTTGACATAGTCCCATCTGTTTATTTTCTCTTTGTTTTCCTTGCCTGAGGAGACGTAGCCAAAAAAACATTACTAAGAGTAGCGTCAAAGAATTTACTGTCTACATTTGTTTTTGGGGTTTTATGGTTTGAGGTCTTACATCTAAGTCTCTAATCCACTGTGAGTTTATTTTTGTACATGGTGTACAAAAGTGATCCAGTTTTATTCTTTTGCATGTATCTGTCCAGTTTTCCCAACACTGTTTATTGGAGAGACTGTCTTTACTCCATTATATATTCTTGCCTCCTTTGTCATAGATTAATGGGCCATATAAACAGGGGTTTATTTCTGTTCCATTGATCTATGTGTCTGTTTTAATGATAGCACTATGCTGTTTTGATTACTGTAGCCATGTAGTATAGTTTTCAAAGTATTTTATTTATTTATTTTTAGAGAGAGGGGAAGGGCGGGAGGAAGACAGGGAGAGAAACATCAATATATGGTTGCCTCTCAAGCACCCCCTACTGGGAACCTGGCCCAAAACCCAGGCATGTACCCTGACTGGAATTGAACTGGCAACCCTTCACTTCTCAGGTTGGTACCCAATTTTCTGAGCCATACTAACCATGGCTATAGTTTTGATATCAGGTATCGTGATACCTCCAACTTTGTTCTTCTTTCTCAAGATTACTTTGGCTATTTGAAGTCTTTTGTGGTTCCATAGAAATTTTAGGATTATTTGTTCTAGCTCTGTGAAAAAATGTTATTGATATTTTGATAGGGATTGCACTGAATCTGTAGATTGCATTGGGTGGTATGGGCATTTTAGCAACGTTAATTCTATCTGTTCATGAGCATGGTATTGCCTTCCACTTATTTGTATCCTTCTTCAGTTTTTTTTCCTTCAGTTTCTTATAGTTTTCTGAGTACAGATCTTTTACTTCTTTGGTTAAATGTATTCCTAGGTAATTTTATTCTTTTTAATGTAATTTAAGTGAGATTTTCTTAATTTCTCTTTCTGTTTGTTTTTGGTGTATAAAATACAACAGATTTCTGAATATTAATTTTGTATCCTGCTACTTTACAGAATTTATTAGCTCTAACAGTGGGTTTTTTTGGTGGACTCTTTAGAGTTCTCTATATATAGTGTTATGTCATCTGCAAATAATGACCGTTTTACTTCTTCCATTCCAATTTAGATGCCTTTTTTTCTTTCTTGTCTGATTGCTGCGGCTGGGACTTTCAGTACTATGGAGAGTAAGACTGGTGAAAGTGGACATCCTTCTTGTTTCTGATATTAAATAAAAAGCTTTCACCTTTTTACCACTGACTATAATGTTAGCTGTAGGTTTGTCGTATACGGTCTTTGTTATATTGAGGTATGGTCCTTCTACCCACACTTTGCTGAGAGTTTTTTTTTTCAAATGGGTGTTGGATTTTGCCAAATGCTTTTTTATCTATCAGTATGATTATATGACTTTTATCCTTCATTTTGTTTATGTGGTATGTCAAGTTAATTGTACAGATCTCAAATAGAGTTATAGTTAGAAGAACACATACATTCTTCAAAATTCATCAAACCGTACGCTTAGGGGGCATTTTCTTTCTATACAAATTATACTTCAATAAAGTCGATTGCAAAAGAAAAAACCTTTTAAAATGGAAACGACCTTTAAATATCAGGAGAAATTTAAATTTCTTTATTTATACTTATCTGTCAGGTTTCTCTTAAGTAGATCAGGAGGTCTAGAGTCTCCAGGCCACCTTCCTGCCTGATCACATGGGCTGGAGGTGGCGCACCTGTTCCACTTGGGGCTTTTGAATCACCAATCTGGCCGCCTTACCAGCTGTGGCCACAGGAGCAGAGTACAGTCCCGGCATCTCCCAGGTCCTCTCTCACTCCTCTGTGGGGAGGCCTGGCGGTTTTGCTGGGTTCCCAGGTTTGGTTTGGTTTTGGTTTGTGTGTTGCTGGCACTTCCGGGACCCTCGGAGGCTGGCTACCGGCCCTCCCACCCTGCTCCCCCGCCACCCCAGTATGGCCTGCTCATGGCGGGGGTGGAAGTGCAAAGGAGGGCAGCGGGAGATGGAGGCCTCTTAAGGCCCAGACTGGAAACAGGAGCCCTGTCATTTCTGTTTCTATCCACTGACCAGACGCGTCACATGGCCACGTTCAGGCATCGGTGGGGGCGGGAGGCAGGCAGACACCGGCCTGGACTTGGAGTAGCTGCAGAGGCCCCTGGAGAGGGGTGTCGGTGTGGGGCAGGGTGGGGTGGGACCCACAGTGCGGCCTGCCATCTTGATCCCGTGTCATTGCTGATTCGACTCATTGCTTTGGGGAGAGAGACTTGAGTTTTAAAACCAGCTTTATTGAGGTGTAATTCCTATGCTGTAAAGGGATTCATTTCAAGTGTACAATTCCATGATTTTAAAGAAATTGACAGTTGTAAAACTATCACCACTGTAAAAAAATAATGTACACAGAGTCACTGAAAATGGGGTCAGAGCCACCAATCCAGAGGCACTGCCTTGGGTGTCTTCCACCTCAAACCTGTTAGAACTAGGGCACCACCTGCTCTGGACGGGGCCTAGGTAACTGTGTGCCCCCAGGAGCTGTTCGCAAAGACAACAAGAGAGCAGACACGGTGACCACCGGGCTGAAGACCATGGGACTGAAAATTAAAACTGTTCCCTAGAGCCCTGGCTGGTGTGGCTCAGTGGATTGAGCTCAGGCCTGTGAAGCAAAGAGTCACCGGTTTGATTCCCAGTCTGGGCAAGTGCCTGGGTTGTGGGCCAGGTCCCCAGTGGGGCAACCACAATGATGTTTCTCTCCCACTCTTTCTCCTTCCCTTCCTCTCCCCTCTCTCTAAGAATAAATAAATGAAATATTTAAAAAAACAACTGTTCCCTAGAGTCAGCGTCACTGTGTTGCTGTATCCGCACCCACAGCAATGCCTCCCTCTTGTGGGTATAACTCACATTCCATGGATGTGGTTTTCCTTCTAATGACGTCACTGTTGCTCTTCCCTTTCTCATACGTACCCCGGCTTTCGCCTCCTGATCAGACCCCTCTTTGGGGTTCTGTCTGAATCAGAGCTTCCCAAATAGCTATTCTTTGGGATCTCAAACAAACATCTATTGTCTCTCACTTGGCCTTTTCTTTGTAGGTAAACACAATGGTCTAAGAAACCTCGTGCATGTTTAGTGGCTCGGAAGCCACTGGTCTACTTTCTGTGCCCCTACATCAGAGCTTTGGGGACAGAACACGCACGTGTTCTTGTGCGTCTGCTTCCTTCCTTCCTTGAACAGAACGCGTCGGCGGGTCAGCCTCGCTACAGCACATGCTGATGCTGTGTTTCTTTTGTTGCCAAGCAACACCCCAGGGTAGAGATACGCTGCTTGAACATTTGGGCTGCTTCCACTTCTTGGGCTGCTATGAAGGATGCACTATAAACAAGTGTGTAGAAGAGACCTGACTGTGTCGAGTCCCCTGTTTCAGGGGCTTCACCTGCCCTCATGTGACACCTGAGTTACGTCCGTGAACCCCACCAGCCTATCAGCCCCTGAGGGTGGGGATCTTGTGGCTGTGCTGCCTCCCGGGAAGTCACTAGTCCCTGCTGGGTAAGGCTCCTTGGCACTGATTCTTAAGACCACTCTTTGCAGGTACAGCTAAGATAGACACCAGCTACGAGCTGCCTTCCCCGGGGACCCACCTTAACTGCAGCACCAACCCAGAGGACAGCAAGGCTCCTAACAGGTGACCCCATGGACCCTTCCGGGGGAACTGGACTGGGGGCAGAGGTGGGGCTCGGGCTGGATCTCTGTCCCAAACCTGCAGGTCGTTTTGGAGAGTGAGTGCCCTGCTCTAGACCGGCACCAAGCCTGCAGGCCTTGACAGGCAGGCCCTGCCCCTGGAGTGCCTGGCAGAGACTGCGGGCAGAGGGTCTGGGAACTCAGGCCCCACCTGCATGGTCTCCAGAGGAAGGGAAGTATTCCTGAGCTCACACTTCCGCTCTCCCAGCTCCATCGTCACTCCTACCTCCGGCTTCTCTGCCCACAGCACCAGCCCCTCTCAGCTCTCCCCAGCCGACTCCCAGGCCAGTAAAGGGCACGGAGGGGGTGCCACTCATGCCCTGGAGGACGCCTCCATCTCAACAAGTGTGCCCATCTCTTTCCCCTCCACGGGAAGACCCATCCTGGTTTCAGGTAATGGTCATGCCCAGGAGGCTGGGCCTTCCTCCCAGGCGGGCAGAGGGAGGGAGGCTTCTCCCGGGGCTGGGGTGTCCACTGGGTTGGGGGACCAAGGTGGAGCCCGGGTTTTTGGCTGGGGCTGGGGCCCTGTCACTTGCTAGCTATTAATTCTTGTAAGTATGGATTTCATTCACAGCTTCCTGCTCATGGCTCATAACTGCCAGAAAGTACTGATATTTGGCAAATGATTTTATAACTGCACCTAATTGCTTAATGCCTTTGAGCCCCAGTTTCCCCCCATGCAAAATGGTAATAGCATGTACCGTGCAAGGTAATATGTAGCCAGCTGCTCACCACCAGCTTAACTCCCTGCAGATGTTGGCTTGCTTTAAATGCGATCCATTCCAGGACTTGCAGTTCTAGCGTTGGGCCCCAGGTGGCGGTAGTTCTCAGGCCAGCGGTTCTTGCAGCATCAGCAACTTGTCGGAAAAACAAATTACGGGCCCCGCCCAGCCCTGTAGGATCAGAATCTGCATTTTGACACGGTCCCCAGGAGATTCCTCTGCACATGCAAGTTGGAGAAGCACTTCTCTGGCACAGACTGCTTTTTAGCGTCTAAAAATGCACTGAAAACAGTAACTAGTTTTGTGATTTTACCAAGCGACAAAAGAAAAAAGGAGGCAAGTGAAGTACTAAGATGTAAAGAGATATGTCCGGGTAGCCGTTCAGTGCGTGGAGTCCTCCTGGGAGTCCCCCTGGCCTGGCCTGAGCCGAGATTTTGTCATTTACCCTAGGGTGACCTTGACTGAGTTACTTAACCCCTGAGAGCCTCAGTTTCCCTCATTTGGAAAATGGAGGTAGTGATGGTAACCACGCCCATGGCCCACGGTTGAGTGCGTTCTTGTGAGGAGTGGGCCCCATGCCTGCCCCCCATCTTGTGGGGACACAGGTTCCACATGCCCCCTCCACAGTCCCCGTGGAGCTCAACCCCTTCTTCACCTGGCCTCCTGACTCCTCCCCTCCCCGCCTCTAGGAATGGTTTGCTCTCTTCTCCACTATTAACCTGCCCAGTGGGCTTCCTGGAGCCAGGGCAGGGAGGGCAGGTGGGTGAGGGCTGGGCCAGATCCAGGGCCTGGTTTTCAGTGCTGGCACGGGAAGGGCCCCTGGGGCGTCACCATAAAGAGGACTCTGAGGGCCGCCAGCCTTGGGGTGGAGAGTGCAGGACCACCTCTCTGTGTTCTAGGCTCGGTGCTCCTCTGGGTCCTCTTGGCGCTGGTGGTCTGCATCGGCTCCGGCTCCTTCCTCGTGTGCCACCGAAGGGCCTGCTGGAAGTGGATTCGGCAGAGTGAGTGGCTGGGACTCTGGGGCCCTGGGGGTGGGCTGGGTGTTTGGGCAGTCCTGGCCGGGCTCTCCCTGCCCCAACCTCTGGGGCTCTCTGAGGCTCAGTCCCCGTCCGGATGTCATTTCAGAACTCCACCTGTGCCGCCCGGTTCAGACCTTCCGGCCCCAGCAGGAGCCTGTGGGTAAGTGGTCACGTGTGTCCGGGGCCTCGTCTCTCCCCAGGAATCCCAGGCCTTCCTGAGTTCTAGGTGGTTCTTGCTCTCTGATCGCTGCCCAGGCCCCAGGCCAGCTCCTCCAGGCAGCTTTCTGGAGCCCTGGCCCTCCCCACCCATCCAAGGCAGCAGATCTCTCCTGGGGGGAGGGTCCTCTTCCTCCCTCGGAGCTTCTTTCGAGGCACGGCAAGGTCCTCATCAGCGCTTTGGGTGCCGGGCCCTGACCTCACAGGAAGGAGCAAACCCGAATGTTCCGAGCTTCCCTGCCTGGTTCCAAGGCAGGCCCCTCCCCACTGCAGGGTCTGCTGACCCAGGAACCCCAGGGGCGGTGGGTGGTCATCTTTTTGTAAGGAGGTAGATAACTGGTTCCCAGCCACACATCCTAAGAAGAGCCACTCCAGACTCAGACGCTGGTCCTTGAGAACTCAAAGCTGAACGCTCCTCCTTCTCCCTGCAAGCTTTGTCCAGCCTATGCCCCGCCCCCCACCAGGCGCCCAGTGGTCAGCCTCAGGCCAGATCATGGCCCCCTTTGCCCCATATGTCTCCAGGACCCGTGGAGAGCCTTGCTGTGGCCCGACTTTTGACTCGGGCACAAAAAACACAGTCCTCGGAGGCACGGTTTGAATCTGATGAGTTTCACAAGCAGGTGCTGGTGTCCCCTCTGCAAGGGGGGTTTTTGTGTTTTGATAGTTTCAAGCCTTTTTCCATGAGCTGTCAGGCTCAGTGTCTCATTGAAACCCGTGTTTGCTTTCTTGACATTTTTCTAGTATTAGAATTTCCATTGCCGTCAGTTTATTTTTTTCTTTGAACCTTTGTGACAGCAGGTTTTGTCACACATAGAAAAAAAAAGAGACAGAAAAAAAGCACCTGCCCCTAAGAAACCAGCTCTGCAAGGAACCCTGAGCCCTAAGACTCGGTGGTGGCTGGTTCTGGCCCTCCGGCGTCCGGTGGGTGCCCGGGGGGCTAGGGTGAGGCCAGGGTCAGCCCGCAGGGCACAGGCTGGGAGCGGACTGCACAGGGGGGATGCCTTGTTCCCTTAGGATGGAGCAGCGGGCGTGGCGGGGGTGAAGGGGCGTTCGCTCATTTGTTCGCTCGTGCAGATACTCATGTCGTTGGGTGGTTCCTAGCGGGTGCAGAGCTGTCCTCACGCTCCTGGGCTTTTAGACCAGCGGCAGATGCTGAAGGGCAGCAGGATGGGAGTGTCAACTCAGCCCAGTCACTGAGGGTCGGGCAGGCGTCCATGACACGCTCACCAGTTGTCTTCTGGACCGACTTGACTTTGCAGCGTGTGTCCTTGGTAGCCGGTGTTTACAAAGCCCACACGTGACCTCTTTTCCCCTACTCCCTGCATCCTTGGGAGGCGGCCACTGCTATGGTCCTCCGTTCACAGAAGGGGAACCAGAGGCTCAGGAAGATGTGTAGGGCCAAGTGGGTAATGAGCAGGGTTTCGTTGTTGCCGTGGGTGGTGAGGTTTTTGTAAAAAAGGTCTCACACCCTCGTGCTGTTGACATGCGGCGGCACCGGATAATTCTTCGCTGGGGAGGGGAGCCGTCCTGTGAGCCTGTAGGGTGTCGGGCCCAAGTCTCTAGACCCACCAGTTGCTAGGAGCACCTTCCAGTTGTGACAACTGAAAATGTTTCCGGACATTGTCCCATGTCCCCTGGAGGGAAAATCACTCCTGGTTGAGAAACTCTGATTTGAATTCTTTCAGTCCTTCATTTTAATGGACACTAAAGTCATCACTTAGTTCATCCAGGCAGGTTTAATTTTGGGAAAAAAATGTTGTGTTGCTCTTTTGAAACAACTTCAAACTTACAGACATGTCCCAAGGGCAGTGCAAAGAACTGTTTTCCTGGACCGTTTGAGAGAAAGTCGCTGACTTAGCACCTTGTCATGGCGACGGTTCAGTGGGTATTTCCTCTTGGTGAGGCATGTGTTTTCACAGCCGCAGTCAAACCATCAAAATCAGAGGCGTCCCCTTGACGCATCACCCCCAACTCATTCTCAGACCCCCTTCAGGTTTCTTCATTGACCCCAATGATGTCCTTCAGAGCAGAAGAACTCGGTTCCGAATTTCGCGTCGCATTGGGTTGTCTCCGTGATGCGGGGTCGGTTCCTGGCTCTTCCTTCTTGTTCATGGCCTTGCCACTTCTGAAGATTCCACCAGTGATTCTGTGGGTGTCCTGCCCCTCGGCCTTGTCTGGTGTGGGGCGTCTCCGGTGGGAAGAGCCCAGAGCGATGTGGAGCCCTTCCTTGTGGCTTCTGCCCCCCGAGATGTCGCCTGCTCCCTTTTCTGGCTGTGGTTCACTTTGATTCAGCTGGCGTGTGCCAGGCTTCTCCCCCGTGACGGTGCTCCTTTCCCCTTGGTAGTTGCCAAGGACTTGGAGGGGAGACACTCGGAGGGTATGTAAATGATCTGGTCCGTGTCAGACTTTCCTCTTCTGCACTTACGTGTTTATATCTGACTCATGGGTTCCTATTTTATTCTGCTGCCATGCTTTTTAGTTTGATGTTCGAATTGGCCCCAGTGAGGTCAGAGGGGGCCGCTTCAAGCTGGCCCTGGTGCCCTTTTGTCCCCATCTTTTTGCATTTGGAGTACTTCTTTCCTCTAAGATGTTCCCAGCTTAGCTTGTCCTTTCCTGCGTTTGCCCTAGAGCCCTCCAGCTCTGCAGGGAATCCAGGATTTGGATCCAGGAGATGTGCCGGTTGCCAAAGCCTGGCTGAACCTCTGTGCCAAACCCTTTCCTTGGGTCCGTTTGGCTTCCCAAAGCAGCTGGGACCTCAGGCCAGAGAGGGGATGGGACGGAAAGGGAGAGTGACTGGGGTGGCAGGGGCCGAGGGTGATCGTGAGCCAGGACCCATGTGCTCAGCGGCAGTAGCCTTTGAGGTAGTCCCGGATGCCACGCGCCGTCCCAGGAGGGCCACCGATGCCTCGCATGTCCCCGGACTCATGTCCTGGGGCGTGTTTACGAGAAGATCATCACTATTCCAAGAGCAGTGAAACCAGTAAGTGGAGAAACCAGTGGACTGAGCAACGTTTTTAAGGGAAAAGCTCTTTCGCAATCGACCTGTGTCCTTGGCACAGCCTGTTCTGAGCCTTTAGCAGAGTCCATGGGCGGGCTCTGGGCCGGCCGGAGGCGGCTGCTCTTGTGTTCTGCATTCTGCCTTTTCACGCTGATATTACTCCGTGCTGGTTTGTGAGGGTCAGTGTCAAATGCCGATCTTGTCTTTGCCGTGCTAGAGGGGGTCTGGGGACCTGCTGTGTGCTGGGCGGTGTGCTGCGCACCCTCCCTTTTTAATGTGAAAACATTCTAAGTAGACTTCATTCTTCAGAACCGATGGACAGAAAATTTGAGAAGGTAATGCAGACAGTCCCCGCATACCCACCCCCGCAGTCTCCTCTGTGATTTATATCATCAGTGTGATACATTTGTCACAGTGAACAAGCCAGTGTTGACACAGTGCTATTAACTGGAGCCCTCACTCTGCTGAGATTTACTTAGTTTTTACCCAGCATCCTTTTCGAGATCTCCTTTGACCTTCAAAAAACCCCTCCAAAGGCCACCCCATTTTCTAGTCGAGATGACTGAGTCTGGGAGAGGCGAGGTCACTGCTGGGGCGGGCTGCCAGGAAGGCCTGCTCCCCCGGGTGTTTGGCATCTGGCTGGCTCTCAGCCCTTTGGTTCTGTTACAGGCACCCTCGCTGAGAATGGCCTTTTCTTTCTGGTTGTTTCCTGCGGGTGTGTCCCCCAGGCAGAGAGACGCCCTGGGTCAGAGGGTGTGCGACTCACGCTGCCCGATGCCTCCCAGGACCGTGGGACCAGTGCCCAGGGCCACGGCAGCTGTGTTCCTGTTTACCCACATCCTCTCCAAGACTGAGTTTTATCGTTTTTATTTATTTTTGTCCCGGTACTCTATCATCCCAGACACCGCGGCCCCCCCCCCCCCCCCCCGTCCCACTGACCACCCAGTCACAGCTGGCTGTTTGCAAAACTCCAAATCAGCCACTAAGAGTGGAGATTCAGCTTCACTGACATCATTTGAGGGAATGTGCCTCAGGCCAGAGAGCATTTTTTTTTGCAAAGTGGTGGCTTGGTGGGAACAGCAGTTATCAGATTAAGTAAGTGCACCAGGTGTCTTAAATCTAGAATGAAGAATTGGGTCTTTTTATACATGTGCTTCTTTTCGTCATTGTTCTGGTCTGCTGACAGGCATTTATTTTTTACATTTTTAAATATTTTATTTATTTTTAGACAGAGGGGAAGGGAGGGAGAAAGAGAAGGAGAGAAATATCAATGTGTGGTTGCCTCTTGCACACCCCCCCACTGGGGACCTGGCCCACAACCCAGGCATGTGCCCCGACTGGGAATTGAACCAGCAACACTTTGGTTTGCAGGCTGGCGCTCAATCCACTGAGCCACGCCAGCCAGGCCTGTTGCCAGACATTTAAAGGGGGCACATAGGAGTGTTTCCCAAACTGACCTTGTGTTCCACACAGCTCTGTCTGTCCGCTATCTTGTGTTATTGTGGTTGGCCGGCCTCCGGGGGATTTTCAGTGAGGATTCGGGGCTGGTGGTTCCCCAGAGCCGCTGAAGTGAGGGAGAATGTTCTGGAAGTGACTTAGCTGGGATGCCGGCGTCTCGCTAGCAGATTTCTCTCTGGTCAGGTATACACACCTGACAGGAACGTATTCTGAGTCCCCGCAGGAGGCCCCCCTGGAGAGTGGGAAAAGGCTGCGCTCCCCTGAGGCATGGTCTGCGCCTGGGAGTTGATTTGTTCTAGGGGAGACCAGATGCCTGGGCCATGGTTAAATGTCAGTTTACACTTGGCCATGACCTGGCACCCCACTCAGTAGGAGAGAAAAGTCGGAGCGGAGGGTGGGGGTTTGGGAGGAGAGGGTAAAGGTCGTGCCCTAGGAGTCTTTGCCACAGCAGTTCCGAGCCCACCAAAGGCGGTCACGGGGGCTCCTTAAAGCACAGAAAATCGGACTTGGAGTCGCCTGAGCCAAAGGGGCTCCATGGTGGCCTGGCTGCAGGCGTGTCCAGCCCAGGATTCAGAAAACGTCCCCAGGGCCCGTCACCCACTCTCCGTCAGCCTCCGGGTGTTGATGCTGACCTGGGCCCTCCAGAGCCCTCGAGCCATAAGGCGGGGCCGCTGCTGGAGACCAGTGTCTGAGTGCAGCGTCCTTGGCTCCAGTGGGGTGTGTACCTCTCCTGGACCATTCCTGCAAACGCACGCGTTGGGGTGGCGGGGTGGGGGTAGGTGGGCTGGGGGGGGGTCCAGCGTGCTGACTGGCTTGGTGGCTGGAGGAGAGGTGGTCCCCTAGTTCTCTGATGGCCGCTGGGGAAGTGAGCCCTGGTGACCCCGGCCTGGGGGCATGGGCGTGGACCCCGAGACCAGCCCACTGTTCTCCAGACTGAGGGTCTAACTGAGCATCAGCAACTGCTAGGGAGCAAAGCAGGTGGCCTGGCCCACACGAGGGGTGGGGCAGGACCCCCGCTGCTGCCAGACCCTCCTTAGTGAAGTCACCACTTTTTTTCTCTTTGCAGATCCCAGGCCCCAGAGGAACCAGGCAGTAAGTACCGCCCCACCCCCACCCCAGCCTGGTGCCTAAATCTGGCTCCTCAGCCAATCGGCTGGTGCTGAGAGCTGCCTGGGCCCCTGAAAGTTCATGCTGGGTCTGCCCCATGCAGGGAGCTCTGAGCAGAGCCGGACCTCAGCCAGGCCCTGGCCACCCCTCCCACCTCCCACCCCAGCAACGGCGCCCTTGACTCCTGGCTCATCCCGCTGGGGACTTCCAGAAAGGCCTGCTAGACCGTGGATTTGATTTGGGCCACTTCGGGTGCCAGGTGTGGTCAGATCACGAGGAAGCCTGTGTTTATTTTCCCTTTTTCTCCTTCACTCTTCCATGAGCCTTGTCCTCAAAGCAGGGATGACAAATCAGGAGCAAGAGTTGTTAAAAATGTAGCTATCGTGTCTCGAGCGTTTCCCACGAGCAAGCGAGGCACCTACCTGGCTTTGTGCTTTCTTGACATGCTCTCTCGTGGTCCTTACAAAGCGTGGGGGTTGGCACTGCCGTCCTGTTCTAGAAAAGAGGAAACAGAGGCCCAGACAGGAAACGGGCTCCACAGGGCTCCACAGCTGGAGGGCAGAGCTCCTAGGATCTGAGCCGCCTCCGGCGACTCCAAAGCTGGTGCCCTGCCCTGAGCTGCCTCCCAGGAAGGCCAGCTCCATCTGCCTTTTACCGAGTGCGCACTGCGCAGGCGCTGGGCTCAGGTGTTTACAACTGTTACCGCTGATCCTACGACCACCCAGGATGGGGCCCATACACCAGGTCCTCGCTGGGCTTGTCCTGGCACCCTGCTCCATGCCCAGCCCCCAGGGGCAGCTCGGGCAGTGGGAGCTGGGGCGGTGTCCGCTGGAGCTGAGGGTGGGGGCAGGACCGAGCCCTCCCTATGGCTGGGTCTTAGGCATATGTGGTTCACCTTTCTCACTTATCCAGTCTTTCATTACTTTCTTTTAACTCATGCATTTATACGTGGACAGTTTGCAGTGTACCTGTAGCATTGACTGAAGAACATCTTCCATGTACACGTAGGTGGCCCCCTTGTCTTCAGTATCCATTCGTTTACTGCACTTGTAAACTGGCTTTGGAGCATCACAGCATTTTATTGCGCCAATCTTATAAATGTTTTTAGTGCCAGAGGTGCATTTTGCAGAGACAAAGCCAAGGCAGTTTCTCAAGGTCCCTGCTGTCTCCTTCATCAGCATTCAGTGGATGATCTTCTATAGCCATCTGTAACAGATGAAAAATGAACCAGATTGCAAATTCTTTTTTGTGGTGCTCAAACCATGTACCAAGTTTTTGGTCCAAATTGTGTAGAATGAGTTAAACTTAAGTTGCAATCCATTAACCAGTATAAATGTATTTCTCTAAGCATAGTTATGTTGACATACAGTTTTAAAAAGAAAAAAATACCCCATTTATATGTGGAAAAAGGGTTCCATCCTTTGTTTTTAAATATAATAGACAGAACCACAATGCAAGTACAATTTTAAATTACGGGAGATCACATTCAAATGCGCTTGGATCAGACAAGTTGCTGAAATTTCATGAAAAGGTATTCAGCCTGGCTGGTGTGGCTCAGTGGGTTGAGTGCCCGTCTGCGAACCGAAAGGTCAGCAGTTTTATTCTAAGTCAGGGCACGTCCCTGGGTTTCGGGCCAGGTCCCTAGTTGGGGGTGTGTGAGAGGCAACTGGTCTATGTTTCTCTCCCTCTCTTTCTCTCTCCCTTAACTTCTCTCTAAAATAAATAAATAAATAAAATCTTAACAAGATAAGAAAAAAGTATTCGATGATTTGTAAGATAATCAGATATCTTATATGGCTACATGGGCCAACACAGTAACAGTAAATTGTTAAAAATTGCTGTCTTGGATTCCAAATTGTTACAGTATTCAGAAGGACATAGGTCGACTTTCTAGTAACTCAATCTGGTTCCATTCTGAAGGCAGCAGGTAAATGCTACATGCTAGAAGGTTCCATGAGACCACTTCCCCTTTGCAGTCACCTGTCAAAGTCAGAAACTAGACCAGCACTTTCCTGGAGGCATAGCTATTTTTAGAACGTATGCGTGTAACCGGCTACTGTCCCCAGAGGCCAGGGCTGGGCCCTTACGGTAGCCGGAGCTGACACTTGTAGACTGGCCCTTCCACACGTGGATTCCGGACCCAGGTGCCGGGGTTTGCGTACTGGGTGGGCATTTCCTGACCCTGCGCAAGTCACGTGACTCCTCTGTGCCCCAGTTTCCTGACCTGTAAAATGAAGGGGGTGCTGGTATCAGTGACCTCCTGGGGTGGCTGTGAGGGTTAATCTTTTGGGGGGTACACACGTGATATTGGCCACGATCCCCGTTATTTTGTACAAGTTCAAGGCAGCATGGCTTCTCCCGGAACCTCAGGCACAGGCGGGTCAGGCTGTGAAGGCCTAGAAGCCCGGGGGAGCGTGTGGCAGCTCCAAAGCAGCGAGGAAGACTGACTGGGGCCAGCGGGGATGAAGGGAATGGGGCTTCGCAGTTCCGAGGTGGGGGGTGGGGGGCAGGTCAGGGCACCCGCGTCAGCGCCTGCCTCCTCTGTGCCCGTAGGACCTGAAGACGGTTGTCTCCGTGGCAGAGCCCTCCCCCGGAGATCTGGGGATGATGAGCCAGCCGGTTCCGAGGGAGAGCCAGCCACTGCTGGGCGCCAGTCCAGGTGGGGACCCCTCGTCCCCCAGGGACCTTCCAGAGCCCCGGGTGACCACGGAGAACACCAACAACAGGATAGGTGAGTCCGCTTGTTTGGGGTTCGTAGCGTGGTCGGGGTGAGAGGGCAGTGGGGCGATGGGTGTGGGCCCTGGGTCCTGGGCCCCCAACTGAGAACAGAGACCCCAGGTCCAGAAGGCCCTGGGAAGTGGGAGGCGCTTTTGCGAACCTGTCACCCTGCACCTGGGTGGACCGTGGAGCAGCAGCGGTGGCAGTGCCAGCTTCATGGGGCCAGGGGGAGAGTCACCTGACGTTGCCTTCGTGGGGCCGGGGGGGGGGAGGGGGCACTTCCTGCTCGGCACCACCATCACTAAAGAGGAGAGGGAGTGCCACCCCCAGTTTCCAACGAAGAGCCCCCGAGGGGGCCAGGAGGGAGACACAGTGACATCAGAGCTGCCCGGCACTCGTGCGATGCATTCCGGGCACTGTGCAGGCGTCACCTCTCATTGTCACACAGCCCTCTGAGGATGGCGTCTGCTTCCCCTTTTCGCAATTGGGGAAACTGTGGACGGAGGGTGCGCGAGGTGATTTTCCCCGGCCCCCGGCCCACGCGGGACCCTGAAACCCCTGCCGCGTCCGCACCACCACCGGCGCAGGCTCGGGGGGCCAGCGCTTCCCAGGCTGCAGCCACCCTCCAGCGCGGACACGCCGCCCGCTTTGGCCTCGCCCAGGCCTCACGCCTCCCCTGTTCCTTCTCTGCACCCTGGTACCACCAGGACGCTTCTCCCCAGTCGCATACCTCTCCCTGTTCCACTCTGCTTACGACCCTCCAGGGGTCCCTGTGACTTCGGGATGAATTCCAGGATTCTTATTCCGCCATTCAAGGCTGGTCACCAGCTGCCTTCTCCCCACAAGACTCACCTGCCCCCAGGCCCTGCACGTCCTTCCACTCGGCAGCAGTTGTTTAAGTTCACTGGGCGCTCTCTCACTTTCACGCTTCTCTACGGGAGCTGCCCCCTCGCCCCCGGGGGCGCCCTCGCCCCTGGCATCTACATTCCTGATGTCCCCGCACACTGTTCATCTGCCTCCTCCTCCAGGAGGCCTTCTTTGCTTTTCCCACTCTGCTGTTTAGACCTGATGCACCTTGGCTGTGCTCCCCAGACCCCAGGCTTCCCCACCAGTGTCCTTGCCACAGAGCAGTGCAACTGTGTGTGTGACCTTGTCCTGTGACCTCGCTTGTCTGCGAGCCCCAGGGGGAGGGCCTCAGGGGCCCCATCTCCAGCTTCTCGGGAAGACTAACCACCACTCAGCTAATGACAGAGACCTTACCTGGCACCCCTCTGTGGCAGGCGGTGGTGGGCAGAACTCTGGGCAGAGTCTTCGTACCTAACAGAAACTTCTGGAATTGCATCTTGTGGCGAGTTTAATTTAAAAAGAATATATTCAGGGAAATACTGCCAAAGGCATTTCATTCAAATTTCCTAAGAAGCCTAGGCTGGACTTTTGAGCCTCTGTGAGTTCAGTGCTTAGAACTTCAGGGGCAGGGCCCCAGTAGGGGGTGGTGGAGGTAGGTACCAGACTCCAGGACCTGCCCAGAGCCAAGCCAGCCTGCAAGTCTTGCTGGTGAGTGGGGTAGTGGGGAGGGAAGGCCTCGGAGGGTTTCTTGGGACATCCGAAGGATAGTAGGCCCCTTCTCCTGCCGACACCACCCCAGGGGAGCACCGCCCCCTCCCCCCCCCCCCCCCCCGCCTTGTTCAGTTCCCATGGAGGACCCAACTCTGGCCTGAGTTTCTCACTCTCCCAGCTCCTGACACTGGGCAGGGAAGCCCCTTTCCCCAACCTTACCCCACCCACTATGACAGTTTCCCTGGATCCTGAAGCCCTAGGTGAGGCAGGAAGTCTAGGCACCTTTGGGAAAGCCCCTCCCCCCTGCTCCACTCTGGGTTGCGGGGGGCACCCTGTGGTGGGGGAAAGAGCCAGAGGGATCAGGACCCAGGGAATGTGAGGGGAACAATAGTCTGGTCCCCAGCTTTGGCCTCTTTAACCTGGGCACCCCATTCCTACTCTTCTCTGTCTCTCTGTCACCTCCTCTAGCCCTGTCTGGTCTCCTCTGTGCCCCCTCCCCCCCCCAGATCGAGGGGCCTGCGGGTCTTCATGAAGAGGCATGTGGCTGGGCCTGAGGCCCTGCTCTCTCTTTGGGGGTGTAGGTTGGCTTCCTGCAGCTTGTCTGTCTCTCCGTCTTCTCTTTAGTTCCTGCTGCTATTTTGAATACTTCTCTCTTTCCTGGGGTGTTAAAACCAGAATGGAAGGGCTGGCATTTTGCAGTGGTGTTGAGGATGCAGGAGCTGCAAGAATCTTTTGGGGGTATCTGAATAAGAGGGGTGTCACCAGTTACTCAGAGAAATCCAGAGCTCCCTGCCCCACCCCAGCTCCGGAATCCTGGGCTGAGCAGCTGGGAGCGGGGACCCTGCGCTGAGCTTGAGGCCATCAGAAGCTGCCTGATGGCGCTCGAAGTCAGCTGACCTGGCCGAAGGCCAGGTGCCCCCCTTCCCAGCTTCTTACGCAGCTCATTTAACTCCCCTGAGCCCCTGAAGCCCCTGAAAGCAGGTGGTGGGGACCACCCGGGCTGTCATGCCTCTGATGGGCTGGGCTGGTCATTCTTCTGAGTGACACACACAAGCAGTCCTACCCTGGGCCAGGCAGGGACAGCCCTGGGAGCCTCAGGTGGGAGACAGACAGTAAGCAGTCAACACCGAAATGCGCCACCCCGACCCGCCCAGGGCTGTCTGCACAGTGGCTGCTGGTGTTTTGAACAGGGCTCAGGTTTCTGCAGGGTGTGACCAGCCCTCCCGGTTTGCTGGTCCCCCTGAGATGGGGGACTTCCAGGGCTAAAACCAGGAGCATCCCGGCCAAACCGGTCAAGTTGGTCACCCCAGGTTTCTGCTTCAGGCCCGTGGAAAGCAGTGGAAAGGGCAGAGAAGCCGGCGTTTCTTTGGGGTTTCTGCTAATTCCCTGGTGACCTTGGGCAGGTTATTTAACCTCTCCGGGCGCCTGGTTCTTTTCCTGTAATTGGGGTAACGACAGACTATGTACCTGGCAGAAAGGATGTAAGGATTCTGGAGCTGAAGTGTGGAGGGGCCCCGAACTGCGTTCGGCACAGGCTGCCCTGTACTCGAGTTCCTGGTGCTGCTGTTGTTGTTACTACTTCTGTTATTGTTATTTTTACTTTTAGTTTTCAATCACAGTTGACACTGGAAGGTGCCATTGTTCTGGGTTTGACTTGCCTTCTCTCCCAACCCTGTTCTCTCCTTCTCTACCCTGTCCCCATACAAGTGATGGAGAAAATCACGGGCCCCTCCCACCAGTAGTAAGTGGGCCAAGTTTGAACTCCTTGGCACACAGCTCCCAGCTGTCAGCTTGGCCGTGCTTCCCGTACCTCAGAGAGGTTGTGTCATCTACCTGAGGCCACACGGCAGGAGGGGCAGACCTGGGATGGGGACCCTCCTCTGCCCCCTCCTTCCACCCTCTGGGGCTCTGATCTCTTCACCACACCCACCCTGTCGCTTTGCAGAGAAGATCTACATCATGAAGGCTGACACAGTGATTGTGGGGACTGTGAAGACCGAGGTGCCCGAGGGCCGGGGCCTGGCAGGGCCGGCCGGGCCCGAGCTGGAGGAGGGTCTGGAAGTGGACCACGCACACTACCCGGAGCAGGAGACGGAGCCACCTCTGGGCAGCTGCGGCGATGTCATGTTCTCAGTGGAGGAGCAAGGGAAGGAGGACCGCTTGCCCACGGCTGCCTCTGGGAAATGAGGCCCGGCCCGGGCTGGGGCCGAGAGCACCGAGGGGTGCTCCCTGGGAGCCAGGGTGGCGACGGTGGGCCGGGCCGGCAGCCAAGGCCCATCAGGCCTGAACCGAGTGTCCAGCACCCAGTGGCGACCAGCCTGCCCATGCAGGAGGGGGTCTGCTGGTATCTACCCGCAACCCCACCCAGCTGCCCCGCAGTCCCTACCCCAGGACTGTGGGGTGTGCAGCCCAGACAACCAAGGGGCCAGATTGGAATGGCGATGTTTGCTGGAGCAGCAGACAGACAGCCCAGGGCCCTGGGCATCGGACCCATCCCCCAGGGCTGGAGCCCACCTGAGGCAGAGGCCACGAGGCCGCCGCGCTCCCCCTGGGCCTCAGGAGTGACGCCCACTGGGTCTGCTGCTGTGCTGATGGCCTCAGTTACTGTAAACGTGGCCCCATGGGCACTGAGCCGGCACCCGGGGTTTTAACTCAGTCCAAAGGGAAATGCACAGGGCTCTGTGGGCCGGCCCGTCTCAGCCGCAGCCACCGTGTCCGCCCTGTGCCTGGGGAGTGCGTGGGACCCTCCTGGTGCCACCTCTCCCCTCACCCCTCTCCTCCGTCCTCTTCCGTAGCCCCACAGTGGGCAGGCCACGGCCTAGGATCAACTTGCCCATCTCAGAATGTCCCTACCAGTCAGTCCCCACAGCAGGAGGCATCTCGGGACCCTCAGCCGCTGCGGTGTCCGTCCCCATCAGAGCCCCCGCCCACCCAGCTGCCGCTGGGAGAAGGGCCCGCCGTGCTTTGCTCGGGGGGGCTCCCTCCACACACAGACCAGGAACTGTGGGCTCCTCTGGGTCCTTGGCTGCCTGGCAGGCACCGCCCACTTGGTGCTGTGACACCAGGATGCATCTTCCCCAGACCCGCCACGCACTCAGACCCCGACGGCGCCCAGTCCCACCCTTGCGCTGCAGTTGCTCCGCATCCAGGGTGGGGCTGTGGATGTCGCAAGCCACGTTCTGCCTTGTTCTGGACTGTGGGGGTGGAGTGGTGAAGAGCTTCGCCTGTTTCAATCAGCCTTTCAGGATTTTTGCTTTTCTCACTCGGGAATAATGCCTCCACTGGCCAGCGGCTCTCCTCTTCTCGGTTCTCCTCGGGGCTTTCAGGCTCGTGTAAACAAACAAGTGGCCTTGGGAAGGGCCGTGTGGGCAGAGGACAAGACTGCGGCAGCCCGGGGCTCCGGTTGCAGGGAGACTCCTGGAATTACCCGCTGGAAGCCAGGCCCTGAAGTGCTCTTTACTCACCAGCCTGCTTCTCTCTGGAGGAAGTTGAGGCTGGGTCAGATGTGCCAGGGTAGTTTCTGAAATCACTCAGATGTTTTGGGGAAAGTTGGAGAGGCCGGGACACTGTGACACCAGGACCTGAAGAAGTGTGGGACGTCTGATACTCGCCCAGATGCGGGTGTGGGCAGCTCGGCGACGTGGAGGACGCCACACGCCCAGCGGGCAGGGCCTCAGCAGCCTTGACGTGAGGCCTAATGAAATGACGTGCTCCCTCGCCCGGGAGCCCTTCATAGAACCATCTGACCCTAGAAAACTCATGAGGTTCCTTAAAAATGATCTTAAGGCCACGGAAACTCTCAGTGGGGCTGAGAGTCTTGGAGAAGTTCTCAGGATCCCTCTCTGCCCCTCTGGCCAGGACCCTTCCTCCATGATACTCCCGCTCCTCGGTCCGGGCCTGCCTTCGGGGATACTCAGAATGAAGCTGCTCCACGCCAGGTTCCCTTCGGGTGTTTGCAGAAAGGGCTGTGCCGAGCAGCCCCACAGTGTGAGAAAAAGGTCACAGAAGCAGCTGCTATGCCCCAGCCTCGGGGAGGCGGGGAGAGGACCAAGGGGTCCGTGGGGGCCTAGGCTTCGTGCTCAAGCTGGGAGGAGCCCAGCCTGCCTTTGTGATCATAGCTCGAGGGAGGGGCGTCACTTTGGGGCCTGCTCCCACCCCAGGCAGCCAGCTGGGACTGTGGCTGCCCTGTGGGGTGAAGGCAGGACACCTGGGACCATGGTCATGTGACCAGACGGGCACCGGGCCTGTACCGGGGCTGCCTCGGGCGGCTGTGTGGGTTCTTGATTTCGTGTAGGATAGATTTCACAACGCGAGTCCAGGTGATATTGAGAGTGCGTTTATTACAGCTGGGGGCAACGAGACAAGGAAGGGCTTCAGGTAGAAGAAGCAACAGGAGAAAGAAAGAGGAAAGGGAGCCTTGGAGACAGGGTCAGGGGGTTAGCCCGGACCAGCTGCCGCTGCCCACTGCTCCCTCAGCTGCAGGCCCGTGGGGTCCCTTTGAGTTCAGGAGAAAGCAGATACAAGGGGTGGGCGGGCTCCAGCGAGCTCCTGTGTGGGTCCTTTGTCTTGAGGCCTTTTATCTTTCTTTGGTGGCGGGATCTTAGGGGCGGCTCCTTCAATAAGCTGACTCATCAAAAACGTACATAGATGGGGCTTAGGGGTTATTTTCTGGTTGGCTTTATTTATAAAGAACACCATCGAAGAGGGACCAGGACCCAGGCTGGCCTGTCCCTGGACGCTCTGGAACGAGTAAACCATTTGCTCCTGTGCCCTTGGTTAGATAGGGTCGTGTGACTCATTAGCTGGCTGTAAATTGCTCAAACCGTCCGTCCAGCCTTGTTTAATTATTTTGTCTCAGTTTCCCTTATTCCACTCGTCAGGGAATTTCCCCAGCTTCTCACTACCCTGCCTCAGTCGGACCTTGCCCACCCCACCCCACCTCAGCCCCAGGACTCCGGACCCCACCATGGGAACTGGCAGCCACCTGGGTGGTGGGAGAGCCAAAGCCAAAGTCCCTGCCTCACCAGGAACAGGGGTGGGGGTGCTTCTTAACCTCTGGCTGTTCTGATGTTCAGATGGACAGGTGGACCAGGGCCCTGCTGCTCAGGGCGGCGGTTCCCAGGATGTGGGGACCTCCTCGCGCACCTGCACAGCCCTCTGCCTGGAGAGTTGTGGTCAGAGGGTGACAGAGAGCCATCAGTCCCGCGGAAGCAATTGCATCTGGAGAAAACCCGCTGTTTCCCAAGAGCGTCTCATCGGCGGGACACTAGGTTCTTAGAGTCTCTAAGGCCAGGGCCTGCCCCTCAGATGGAGCAAGACCCTGACTCTGCAGGGAGTCTGGAGATTCCAGAGCATCGGGAGACGTCACCTGACCTGTGGCTTGTGTTTGCTGTATGGCAGCTTCTGTCTTCAGTCCAACCAGTGGCCACCTGCCAAGAGGGGGCCCTTCCTTGGCCTGCAGAATTCAGCCCCTCTGACTTAGAAACAGGAAACCTTTGAAAGGGCACTGGGCTTAGCACGGTTTTCTCCCAGAAGATGGTGGTGGGTTCCAAGCTGGCCCCCCAAAGCCTGTGTTAGTGTCGGTAAGGTGAACCAGGGCTTTCGGGATCTGGGGCCTGGCCTCCCTTGGGGCCAGGTTGCTGTGGGAACCTCACGGTGCATAGGCCCCCTCTTGCTCTGTGAGGGACCCAGAGAACCCTCCACTCCCAGTCAGAAGACTGGCTGTTGGTTGGTCAGCTGTCTATAACTGTTCATGAAGTGTAGTGGCCTCTCTGCAGGGGACGTCCCGCTCTTGGTCCCAGGGCATCCCAGACAGCACTGCATTGCTGTTCAAAATCTTCCTTCCTCTCCGTCCTCCTTCCAGTTACACCTGTGGTGAGTCAGGCCCAGTCCAGCTGCAGAGGGTGCGAGACACTGAGATGGACTTTCTCTTGTGCGTCCCCTGAATGAGACCAACGGTGGTGCAGAACCGAACCTGTGAGCGAGGTCATTCCAGAGGTGACCACACTGTGTGCTAGGGGAGGCCCCAGTCAGGGCACCATGGCAGTGTCTGGAGGGCAGGGGCAGTTCTAGCCAGGTGGTCTAGGAAGGCTTCTTGGAGGAGGTGTCCTTTGAGTTCCACCTGAGTGACATGACAAGTGGGTGAGGCAAGGCGAGACCCTGGCAGCTGAGCGTTCAGGGGGGTTGGAACCACCACCCCAAAAGCGCTGAGGTGGCAATGCCCCCGGCCTTGGGATTCGAGGAGCTCACCTGGTGAAGCACAGGGAGTGGACAGCCAGTGGGGCCAGATCAAGGAGGGCCTGGTGGGCCATTGCAAGGCACTCTGACTTCATCCTCAGAACACCAGACGCTGGTTATTTCTATTTCCCTCCTTTAGAACAATAAACATCCTGCGATTCTCTCAGCACCGGGCGTGAGAGGCTGTAGCGGGAGCAGCGAAGATTGTTTTAACCCAGTTCAGAGGGAAGTGGGGGACAAAGGCAGAGTCTGTAGGGAGCCAGGAGCCAGTGGATGTTTCTTAGAAAGGGCAGAGCTGAGGCCACATTCCCAGTTAATTAACATCGCAGCTCCAGGTCCAGGCTGCTTGGTCTTGGCTGGAGGCCAGCAGCCAAGGTTCCTCTTTCTTTGGGTGTCTTCCAGAAGCGTAAAAACCAAACCGAAAAATCCTGGGAAGGCCACAGGCCTCTGTTTGTGTTTTGGTGTGGGGTGTGGGTCATCTGAGAATCACAGCCTGTGCTTCCCTCCCATGTACCTTCAGGGCTCAGCCTCCAGGTCAAGGGGTTCTCAGCCGCATGGCCTCAAGCAAATCCCTTGAGGGCTTTCAGCTTTGGTTTCCTGACCTGCCGTGTATGGGCAATAATTACTTTGCTTTGCAAGGTGGGTGGAGGTCATGGGTGAAGTGCTTGACCTGGGGCCAGTCGTGGTCCCTGTTCATTAAATGATAGTTACCATAAGCAGCATTTAAAGAGCTTTCAAGTCTGTCCAAGGCTTTCCACATTCCTGAGGCACTTGGGCTTCATAAGCACAGCTAAAAAGTAGGTGGGCTGAGGGCCAGCACTGCCGTTTACTGGTTGAGCCTCAGAGAAGGGAAGCAAGCAGCCAACCCACCGCCACACAGCCAGGAAGTGCCAGACCCGGAGCCGAGCCCCCCCCCCCCCCCACCATGGTTCTCAATTAGCCCCTGTGCCCATGCAGCCAGTCCGTGTCCCTGTCACAGTGGTCAGCTGCTACTGTGCCCTCTGGACACATTTCTTTTCACCTCCAAGTCATCACAGCTGGGAGATGGGGAGGTTCCTTGGTTGCTTGTTTTATGGGGAGGAAGGGACAGTTCCCAGAGGCTGGGTAACCTGCTTGAGATCAAGCGGCAGCCCAGATTTCTTCCTAATTCCTCTGATGCGGAGCTCACTCCTTGAAGGTGGTCTGAGGCAGCGGTCAGGGGGACTCGGGCTCTGGGAGCCCGGGTGGGACAGAGACCTCCCTTGGAGGGCTGGCCGGCCATTGGATTGCCTTTGGCCCTCTCAGTAACTCCTTTTACCCCACTCTCTGCCCCATGCCGGGATCTGTGGAAGACAGGGCAAGAAAAAGCCTCTCCATTTAACAGATGGGAAAACTGAGCCCTGTGTAGGTGAGGGGGTTTGCCTAAGGTCCCGGCTTGACGAGTTTGGCCCCTTGCTGTGTATGTTGGGGCTGGGGTGGGGGAATTGCAGTCTAGTCTGAGAACAGTAAAGATTATTTGCTGGTTTTCAATCTCCCTTTAAAAAAGAGTAATTCGATTCTGGCTGGAGTGTCTCAGCTGATTGGGCATCATTCTGCAAACTGAAAGGTTGCAGGTTCTATTCCTGGTCAGGGCACATGCCCAGGCTGCAGGTTCAGTCCCTGGTCAGGGCTTGTGCAGGAGGCAACCAATGGATGTTTATCTCTCAGGTTGATGTCCTCTCTCTCTCTCTCCTTCCCTTCCCATCTCTCTGGAATCAACGAAAAAAATGGTGTTAAAGTAAAAGCAACTACAGTAAGAGTGTTGGGGTCTCATTTATAAGGCAGAGCTTGGCCAGAGCCAAAGTGGTCCCCACAGTCGGACAGACAAGAAGCAGGACCTCTGTAGCTGCCCCCCGCCCGGCCACATGGCCCGGGGGGTCCCACAGGCTCCCTGCATGGAATAATGGCTGAGCTTGGTGGAATACTCTGCCGTCGCCATCTGGAGAATTACCAGTGCCTTCTGAACAAGGGGCCTTGCACTTTTACATGTCACTGGGTCCCACAAGTTACATAGCTGATCCCGTACGAGGGGCAGGGAAATTGTCTGTTAGGAACTTAAATGGCAAAGCCCTTTCTGTGCCTGGCCACTAAACCTCACCACGACCATAATTAGAGATGAGTGTGCAGATTCCCGGCTTTCAAAAGCGTTCAACGGCCAGTCACTGACCTCCACTGTCCTAGTGGTCTCTTGCTGTGCCATAAAGCTCCTCAGAACTCAGTGGCTTAAAACAACCCCCCAGTCGTTCATTTCGCTCACAGATCTGCGGTTTGGCCGGGGCTTGGTGCGGAAGGCTCACCTCTGCTCATGCAGCACTGGCTGGCCCCAGAGACTGCACTTCGCAGACGGCTGGCCAGCGGGTACCAGCCGTGGGGTTTTCTCCGTGGGCGCCTCCGTGGAGGGGCATGGGCTTCCTCCTAGCCCCGTGGCCAGGTTCCTAGAGCAAATGACCCAGGGCAGGACGCGGAAACTGACAGGTTCTTAAAATTGGGGCCCAGAACCAGGCACATTTTTTGGCCACGTTCTAGTAGCCAGGCAGTCACGGGGCCCAGAGTCCTGGGGAGGGGAGGCAGACCCCAGCCCTCGACAGGAGAGTCGAAGATTTGTGAGCTCTTACTATGTGTCAGGCACCGTCCTGAACACTTCACAGGTTGCCTCATGTCATTCTCCCGGTAACTTGACCCTTAGTCTTCCCAAAGTTGCCTCAAGGACACGAAATAGCCCATCCCAGGCCCCCTGGCTGGGATTTGAGTCTGTGTCTGGAGGGTGAGCTGTGGAGCGCGGGTCTGGCCTGTGCACTGGCCCTGTGCTGTCAGGCTGTACCAGGGCCGGAACCCAGGCCTACATGGGTCTGCTTCGGGGACATCTGAGGCTTTCGAAATGCTCCGTTCCGACGCCCTCGTCTCCCAGGTGGGAAAACTGAGGCTCTGAGAGGTCTCATTGGGCCCCCCTGAGGGAGGGTTCAGCAGCTCCAGAGCAGGATGCCCCACCCTCCCGGGGCTGCACAGAGCCCGGCCAGGAAGCCGCAGAGCGCTGTGGGCAGGTTATGCAAGAAGAGGCCGTTGCAGGGACGCTGTTTTTCACCGTGTTACACTTCACTGGGGAAATACCCACAGCCTGGGCAGGTGTTGAGGGAGGCCACCGGGGCGGGCCAGGGTCCCCTGGGCCACGTGCATTCATCAAAAGTTCCCTGAGAACGTCTCTGTACCCCTTCCAGCTGGGCTCTAGAGAGAGAGATGGGAGAGCCGCCCTCTCTGCTGCCCAGGAAGTCACACGTTAGGTAGAGCGACAGTAGGAACTCTTCATTATTGAGGTTCTTTGTGCTATCTCATTTCCTAAGAAGTGGTTGCTTATTATTATCTCTGTTGCCAGTGAAGAGACCGAGGAGGCACAGAGTAGTTAAGTCACTTGCCCAAAGTCACACAGCGGTTAAGAAGTGCAGCCTGGATTCAAACCTACGCCACCTGGCTGGAGCCCGAGTCCCAACCCTTTGGCTACACCGTTCCATTGCATCTCAGGTTGGAGCCCCCGCTGTGCCGTGGCCCCAGCCCTGGGTCTTGGGCCTTGCAGGACACGGCAGGAACCCACAGGGCTCGGTTCCCGTGCAGGGAATGAGTCCCGGCTTCCGTCTGCCTTTACTTCCCAAGCCCAGCTCTGACCAGGTCACCTCTTCACAGAGCCGGTGATAATCCCCCAGGACCTACAGGCCATAGTTTGCCCATCCAGCCCCCCCAGGCACGTCCTGCCACCTCCCAGAGCTCCCCACTCCCGCACCCCAATCCCTGATGAAACCCAGCCGCATCCCCCCTGGTCGTCAAATCCAGAGGGCACGTCCCCACCTCGCCATCTCTGCTCCGTGCCCCAACCCCCAGACCCTCATCCTGAACTTTCCCTTTCTCCCCCAGAAAGCCTTCCAGGACCACGCGGGACCAGGACCTTGGTGCCCTCTCAGTTCCCACCCTCCTGACGGTGGTTGGAGGCTTCGTTTCAAAGGCCTCACAAAACACACCTCCGTGTCAAAGATGACTTTGCTCATATTCAGCCATTCAAGCAACAGCTCTGTATAGAACAGCCACTGTGGGTCAGAAACTGTGCTGGGGAACAGGGTGGGGGTATTTGGGGCAGTGCACACACCGCTGCTCTCAGGGAGTCCAAGCCCAACTGGGGAGACGGGCTGACTCGGGTAAGCGTGGCACTGTGGCGCCTGCTGCGGGGCATCTAGCCCAGGTGATGGGCCTTCACTTCCTCCTGTGACGCAGACTGGGTAAGTGTCCCCTATCCCCAAGCGAGGGTAAAGGGGTTAAGTTCATTCATTCGTTCGTTAGATAAATACTTACCTATTTCAAACTGTGTGTGTTGCTGGGTGCTGAGGACACAGTCCTCCTGCAGAGGGACCGTGATGGGTACCAGAGCTACCCTAGCCGGGGGTGACTGCAGGGGCCTGCGGGCTCCCCGGAGTGGGTCAGGTGTGCAGCCAGGGCCTGGGAACTTGGCACAGAACACGCAGGTCTGGGCAGATGGAGAAATGTGGGGCGTGCACGGGGGAAGTGGAGGTTGCACCACCCCTGCACCCGCATCTCTGCGTCTCTAGGTCTCTTCGGAGGATGATGGTGGCAGTTTCGAGTCGGAAATCGTTCTGTGGGAGCTGGGAGGGAGACTGGCCAGGGCTGGGCTGGGTGGTTGGGGGTGGCTGGCGGGAAGTTGCAACAGCTTCAGGAGAGTTGGGGAACTGCAGGGGAATTGGGGACTGAGGGGGGTTTCCTTTGAGTGTGCCTGAGGCTGAGCACTTGGGGAACTTCACAGGGAAACCTTTCCCTCTTCCTGGGGGGATGCCGGGCTCCACTGGGGGTGGGGAGGGCAGACTCTGTGGCTACATTTATGGAGCACCTACCATGTGCCAGGCGCTGTGGACTCCCGTGCTCTGATCCTTAGAGCATCCCTGAAAAGGGGACGTATTTCTCTCCATCCTACAGATGAGGAAATAAAGGCTCAGGGAGATGAAGTGATTAGTCCAAGGTCAAGGTCACATGCTGGTGAATGTCCTGACCTAGGACTTGAACCCAGGTCTAGGCAGATGGTAGCAAAGTTGATGCCTTCTTGGTGCTTGAAATCCCAGCATTCATTCCTAGAAGGTAAAGGTCCCTGGGATCCTTGTTTGGGTGTGTGGTTGGGGCAGGGTCTCAATGACCGGTGGGGCAAAGGGGCAGGAGAGTTCAGGATGGCACACAGTAGGTGCTTAATAAGTGCTTGTGGAATCTGCAGGACTGGCAGAACAGGCCTGGGTGGTAGTGGGCTCTGGTTCCTCGTTCCCTGGGAATGAGGTCCTAGTAGACAAACGTCACCAGGGAGATGAACTAGAGGTGAGCAAGTCACTGTCACAAACGTGGAGAAGCTCCTGGGCACCTCAGCAGGGTCCTTCTGTCCCTCCTACGAGTTGTCTTCCTCCCATGCCCTGCAGGGGTTGGTGCCCACACTGAGTCAGCCCCGCCAGCCCTGCCCAGCTCTGGCCGGAAGATGTGAACTCATAAACATCTGAATGAGCAAAGATTAGGAAACCGTGAGGGGAAAGATTACTAACGTTTTCCTCCTTTTAAATTGGGGAAGGAACAACCTGCTGGAGACGTGAGGTCAGTGACTTCGGCTCCGTGTGCTCCGTGATGGTGAGAGCCAGCATGTCTCATGTGCTGCGTGTCCCAAGGGAGGGCTGGGTATCATGTCAGGGAAACTGGCTGAGAGCCACCCACATCCAGCCTGGCAGGGAACTGTCCCCACACCTGGCACTGCCTCCTCATCCCTGGCTGCTTCCTGGTTGCTCCCCTGCTGAACCGAGGTCAAGATCTGGCCAAGGAGAAAAACTTGGCTGATTCCTGTTGCTGTAGGCCATCTATCTGGGCTGGTGGGATGCATGGGGGGGGGGGGCGCTGATGAACGAGAGGTGTGTGACTCCCAGACCTTGTAGCCCCCTGCGGGCCCTCCCTCTCTGACTATAGATGAGGAAACTGAGGCTTGGAGAGGTGAGAGCTGGGCCCGAGATTACACGGAAAATCAGCGGCCGTCTGGACTAGAACCTGGTGTTGGTGCTTCAGAAATTCAAACAAAAATCAAAACCCTTTATAAATAGAGAGCTAACCATACTTTTGAAGAAGAAAACCAATAGAAACCAGAAGTACAGAGAAAATAATAAAAATGGTGCGCAATCTCACCCCCCCATTCTAACCACTTAAGCATTTGGGTTTCTTGCTTTTCTTTTAAATAATACTGAAAAATTATCTTCACCGATTAACAAAATAAAATCTCTTCACTTATGGGTATAATTAAAATCATTTCCATTGTATAATTACAAACTGTTGGAAATCTGCGACCTGGGCTGTCAGCACGAACTGCCCCCCACAACCCCATCATGCCCTGCCCCCCCACCCCCCAGGGGAACTTCTAGAAGACCCCTGCTTTTAGTTCTTGTTCTTTTACTTTACGTAAGAGCCCAGCTTCTTCTTAACCCCTGTGCCCCATTAAGGAGTTGCTTTGCTTACTTCACATTTTAATTTATGCACCTTATTCTGCAGAGTCAGGATCACTGATCCGGATGGTGGGTCTGAAGGGTTCTGGGAATGTGACTTGGGAGGGAGCCAACTGAGTGCGGAGAAGGTCTTCCCCAGGGTGCCCCCCCCCCCACCAGCTGGAAGCGGCAACCCTGGGTTTATGCTACAAAGCAAGTTTCCATCCTCATTAGCCATCTTCATCCTGTGCTTGCCATGTGCCAGGTA